GGACAGGAAGTCCGCCTTGTAGTGCTTCACAAACAAGTGTCTGCTGTGGATGTATTAGCTTGTTTTGTCCTCCAAGTCCCCAGAGTTTGCAGAATGTGTGCACTGATCCCTTCTGGAACAGGAACCTCTGGAAGCCTTCTACGCTTCCACAATGTGTGATCTTATTACTTAGTGCTTCCAAGTCTTCTATTGCCGAGTCCTTGCCCTTTTGGATGGAAGAATACAACAGGACCCCTGCTCTCCTCATGGACTCTACATTTCAGGTAAATTTTCAGAGTGCTTCTGACATTTAATGTGCGCCACTTCTCCTTGCTGGGGTGTTGTGTCAGACAGAATGAAGGTAGAACCCTCTTTTGGGAAGCATGGAAAGAAGAGTTTCAGAGGAACAGCCGTGTTAGTCTGTATTTGCAAAAAGAAAAGGAGTACTTGTGGCACCTTAGAGACTAACCAATTTATTTGAGCATGAGCTTTCGTGAGCTACAGCTCACTTCATCAGATGTGAAGTGAAGTGAGCTGTAGCTCACGAAAGCTCATGCTCAAATAAATTGGTTAGTCTCTAAGGTGCCACAAGTACTCCTTTTCTTTATGGAAAGAAGAGTTCACCTTTAGGACAAATGATCCCAGAGTCCTGAGCTCCACCTTGTCCTCATGTACCATGCAGTAAGGTTTCTGCATAGAAAGCGCCAGGAGCTCCGACATTTGCCTGGCAGACATGATGGCTATGAGAAAGAAGTCTTCATTGACAAATAAAATGGTGACACTGACACCAGTGGTTCACAGGGGTGTTGTCAGGGCTCTCAGTACAAATGGCAAGTCCCACTCGGGATAAAGAGGTCTAGTTGCCCACTTGGCTAACTGGACTGCCCTAAGGAATCTACCTGGGGGTCCTCTACCAGATGGCCCCTAAACCCTACAAATGTCACACTGCTAAGGGCAGACACCTGATGTGCAATGACACTGGGTTGGTACCTTTGTCAAAGACTTATTGAAGAAAATTAAGATAGCTGGAATTCCTGGGTTTCTAAGATTTGCTGTATGTTTCTGGCACAAAGTCGCAAAATTTTGTCCAGACAGGAGTATGCTTTCAAGGCTGATACTCTTAAAAGAAAGAAATGTTCTGATGAGTTTGAAGGACAGACCTAATGATACTACTACTGATTCTCTTTCAGTAGCCAAGCTATTAGATGGTGTCTGTTTGGGTCTGCCTGCAGCAGAGGACCTGGTGAGATAGCCTGCTTCTTTGGGAGCTGTAGTGGGGGTCCCAAGTTCAGCTCTACTAGGTCCAAAACCAGGATCTCCTCGACCTGTGCGGGATTACCAATATTACTGTCAGGTGTTATTTTATTTTCTGGACCACCTTCCCCAATAACGGGGAGGGTGGAAATGCATACAGGGGGTCCTGCAGCCATCTGTGCGATAAGGCATCTATCTGAATGCATCTGTGGTTAAGTACTTTGGTCTCTTCGCATTTATGTGGTTTGCAAATAGGTCAGTTGAGGGCAGGCCAAACTCCTCGACAATTTACTTGGCAACTTCCTGATTCAAGCACAACTTAGAGCTGTTCACCTTGCGCCTGCTAAGCCAGTCTGCCTTCTGGTTCAGGTTTTCCTTTACGTGAACTGCCCTGAGGGACAGAAAAGAATGCTCCACCCACTGCATGATTTCCATTGCTTTGCAATATAGTGCTGGGCTTCTTGTTCTCTCCTCGTTCACATACGCAACCATGGTCCTGTTGTCTGATCAGGATGTGGTTCCCTTCTAGGCTGGACTGGAACCTTCATAGTCCTAGCTTGACCACGCTACAAGGTTTATGCTGTGAGTCCTTTCCTCCATGTTCCAGATGCCTTGAGCTGTTTGAAACCCCAAGTGTGCTCCCCAGTGTCTCCGGCTAATGTCAGTTGTGAGGATCAAGGGATGTGGAAGGCACATGGATTCACCCTTGCAGACAATTGCCCTGGGGTGACCATCATTTTAAGGAGTTAACCTGCACTGGAACTCTCACTGGACCTTTCATGCATTCCAGGAAGTGGTCTCATACCTTTAAGATGAAGCCTGGAAGGTCCCTGATGTGTGACTGCACCCATGGAGTGATTTCTATGCTTGATACAAGAAGGCCTAGCAGCTGAAGCCTCAGCACAATAGTGTCTTGCAGTTCCAAAACAATGTGATGTCTTGAATCTTCTGGAACCTCTCTAGAGATGGATTTGTCCTTGCTATCGAGGTGTCTGTGGGTACTCTGATGTGAGTTAGTTGGGTGGATGGAAGCAAGGAGCTTTTCTCTATACTGATGATTAAGCCACGGGCCTGAAGGAGATTCAATGTCTAGAACATAGTTGTGTGTGCCAGTAATGGCAGTGGAGCTCATTAAGATGTCGTCCAGGAAGTGGTACAGATGGTTTCCCTGTGACCTGAATCTGATTTCCACCATCATCTTTGTAAAGACCTAAGGAGAGCCAATCGCAAGCTGAATGGGAGCATCTGATATTGGTAACGCTTCCAGCCACAGCCAAAACCATAGGATCCTGCAGTGTGATTGGGAGATTCACGGACGTCAAAAAATCACCCTGGGACAGGGATGACACTGTAGAAATTGGGATTTCGTCCAGGACTTTGTTTCCTTCATCCACTTGTTAAGCCACCTGAAATCTAGAATGGCTTGGAATTCTCTTGTACACTTCTGAATGAAGAAAATAGATGAAAGATTCTCAGAGTTGTACTCCAAATGAATGATCTCACTCCTATATCCAAGAGGTGAGAAATCTCATTCTGTATTAAAGCACATTTTATGGGGTTGTTCAAGGCGGGGAACTGGATGAAAAATGACAGAATGGAGTCTAACTTGATGGAGGATCCCTAGCTCATTATCTCCCTGACCCACTGGTCTGTGGACCAGAGCCGCTAACTTCTGTTTTTGCTAGTAGGTGCTTTTGAAGAGGGGTGTGTGTTGGGGGGGCACTCTGCCAGTTTTAGGGGGAGGCTAATGTCAGCATATTTATACATGTTTTTCATATTCTAGTTATTGAAGGTGTCTATCACTGGTATCTTTACTATTTTAATAATGATTCAATTGTTATGAACTATGTAATTACATCATCATGAATTACAGTATATTAAAATTATTGCAATCACAAGCTGTCTTCAGTAATATCCCAGTTTAAAGACATTATGTCTCTCTGTGGATTTCTGGATGAAACTGTCAGCAATCTTATTTACATCTAGGTTCCCTGGCATTGTTTTGATGCACGTTAAGGACAGTTACATTATTCAGTTGCGTTTGTCCCACTGATGACTGGAGATCATTTTTAAGTCTTCTGAAGCTGGAGAATGAGTTCAGGATGATACAGGCACAGTGAGGAGGATTCTTATGAATGTGCAGTACTCTGGAAACACAGTGCTTCCAGAATACTGAAAATGACTCCAAGATCTCTTTCTTGATGGGTAATAGCTAATTTAGGACCATCATTTTGTATGTATAATTGGGATTATATTTTTTCTTGTGCATTACTTTGCATTTAACATGGAATTTAATCTGGCATTTTGTTGTCAAGTGACTCAGTTTTGCAAATTTCCCTTTGTAACTCTTTGCAGTCTCTTTTGGACTTAACTGAGTAATTATGTAGCATCTGCAAACTTTGCCACCTCACCGTTTACTCCTTTTTGCAGATCATTTATGAATACGTTGATCAGCACTGGTCCCAGACCAGTACAAGCCCCTTGAGGGACACCACTATTTACTTCTCTTCATTCTGAAAATGGACCATTTATTCCTATCCAGTGTTTCCTTTTAACTGGAATGCCTGGGAATGCTTTCAGGATCATCTAAAGATGCTTAATTTAATTTAATGACAAGCCTTTTGTTATCGTAATCACCCTGCTTCTGTTTATAAACAAACTCCCTGCCCCAAGGGCAGAAGCTGGGAGCAGCACAGAACTCATCACATTCCACACTCAAGCTCTGGCTCCTGAGCATCCATTATTCCCCCCCCCCCCCCCCGTGGGTGCTTGAGCCCCGGAGCACCCACGGAGTCAATGCCTATGCTGCGGATGAGCAATCCATTCCTCCAGGAAATGGGAAATTCTGCCCCCAAGCTCCAGCTCTGGGCAGAGACTTATGCAGCCTGTCATGAAAAGGCTTTGGGAGCTACAATGTTCCCTTGGGGATTTCCTCCCAAGTCACAGTTCCACAGCTTCCCTCTGGAGAACCTGCTGGTATTCTTGCAAGAATGAAGGCTGAAAGGAACACATTTGTCTGAAGACTGGTCTGTACTCTCTCGTAAAGGCATGGTGGGGTGTTGGAAGGGACCGTTTAGATTCTGTGGCACTGTCCGCCACTATCTTGTCTAGCTTTGCTCTGAAATGCAGGGCTCCTGTGAATTTGGCAGAACACGGCGCCCATTTTGAGTGGTTATTCACCTTCCAGGGATGGAGCCATAGGTCACTGAGCTGGAGGCCCTGGATTTGGCTGAGAAACTCATTGCACTCTCTAAGGCCTCAGCAACTAAACTATTACCAGGGAACCTTTCTTTAAAATAGAGCCAAAGTCAGGATGGTCTCTATCCTTTAAGGGCTCTGTGATCTTCCAGCCAGGAGGCCTTAAACATCTTTTTTTGAGAGTAGCCTCCATTTTTCTATTTGTGAAGAGCCAGCAGAGAGGCACTACAGCTGAGGCTCTGAGGGGTTCCGACACCTGGATAAAAAAAACTGGCCCAGGTAGAGAAGGGGCTGTGAGGGAGATCAATGCTCACCACTACCCCAAAGTTTGACAAAAAAGTCCCTTAGGCAGATGCAAAGGCAGGAGCTGTGAAAATCACCATCAAAATAAGCACTATTAAGAAAAAGTTGAGTAGACCCTTCAGACAGCGTTTGCCAGGAGAGTTCTGACCACTGCCTGAGACATATCTTCAGACAAGTTTCACGTGCACCATACTTCTTGTTCAGCATACACTAAAAAAAGCAATAAGAATTTCTATTTGCAAGTAAGACTGCATTAACCGTTAGAGAACTATTCATTGTTTTATTTGTACATACAGAAGTCCTAAAAACAGCTGCAGGATTCACATTACATGACTGTCCATTCTGGAATCTACAGTACATTATATACAAATTATATTTCCAAAGTAAAACCGAAGAACTCTCACTGAACAAGGTCTTTGAGAAGCAGCAGTGCATTCCATGCAATCAAAATTCAAAATCATAAATTATAACCAACATCTGCAACCATAAGTCTATACATAATATACAAAATTGTGCATGTCAAATCTACTTCTGTGTAAGATTCTTCCAGTGGGACATAACACTGCTGCACATAACATTGTACGGGCACATGAAAGGAGCCTGAAGTTCTGCAGCAAACCCTTATGACCTCATAAGCCAATTCTATTACCAGCTTTACCTTTTGAGGTCTATAAAAATGCATGCAAAAATAGACTAACTCAGGTGCTTGACAACTGGACCTTACTGAGATGTGAAAGATACTACTGTAAGGAATTAGTCAAGCATAGCACATCTCAATATGAAATAGGGTCTAAACCAGACGGAATTCTTCTCAAAATATCAGCAATTTAAAAGATCACAGGAGCATTCAGTAAAATTGAGCAACACTTTCTGGTTTCAATTAATTAGAGTTCTGAGATATATAACCTTTTACATTTAATAAGGCTTCACAGGAATAAAAACACTTTACATGTGAAAAATATTTAAGATATTATTTAGGTTTCACAGTCTTTGCTATTGCATATCTTAACAAGTTTACTTTTAAGTTACTTGAAAGACTATGCACAGCTATAAAACAAATACTTTTAACATGGAAATGATCCCACAAATTAAAAAAAATTAAGCAGTACACCATGATACACTGTCTCCCTCTGTGTTAAAAAGTTTGCCATTGCATGAATGTTCAGTTTTTTATGGAATACTTCATATTATCAGTCAAATATAAAAAACTTGTTTTCAAAAACTGCTGTATATCAAAACTTCCTGTTTGAAAAGTGTTTCAAGTACAAATGACTAAACAGAGCTTTCATTGGGTGGTGACTTCCAACGGGACTGCAAATTTTTCATAATACAGTTTGTCATGCTACCAAGTTTCTCTTGCATTTCAAAAAGTTGGCTCCCCGAATAACTGTGGAGATCTTCAGAGGTTAGCTGAGCAGCAAGTGCACTGACCTGGCTCAAGAGATCTGTTGTGGGCTGTCTATCTGTGCTCAAAGCAACTTGTTCACTCAAATCTAAAAAAAGAAACAAAAGTGATTGACATACACTATTGTAAATGTATCTTACTTTTAATCTGAGTTAAATTTATTGGTATGGAAGTGTTATGAGTTTCTGCTATGAAAAAAATGTGTTTAAGTTGTCTATATCACATTTCTGGCACCAATATAATTCAGCTGTTGAATCTGTAAAGTTTAAAAATATTCGACTTTGATATGAATTCGTTAGCATGTTTCTTATAAAAGTCTTCTATTTGTGTTCTAACTAGTATCAATGACGTAGCAAAATACTGATAAAGGTGATCTCCTCCCAAAACCAGCGCAATTCAGTTACACAGCAGTTTTAAGAAGCTACCATCACACAAAGGTATTAATCGGTCACACTACTCATACTAAGAAAGCAACAAGTTACGCTTATGTTATGACAAGGACAGGAGAGCAAGTGACAAAACCCAAATCTGAAGTCAAACAAGATAATGCAATGTTTACCAGTTGCAAGTCTTTCTTCATCTGTGGAAAAATGTTTCTCATCTATGACATTTTCTGCCTTCTCTCTGTCTTCAAGGACTGCAATTTCATCAAATCCACGAGCCTTCATCTACAGATTTAATTAGGAAAAAGATCAGAAAGGAAAGAAGAGTTTTCCCTAAAAGGAAGCAGCCTGAAATCACATGGTGGAAAGCACTTATCATAAAATTTGAAAAACTGTGATTTTAATTTCACAATTTTTAAACACAACTGTTGTTTAACCACATCACCGTGGTCATTACCTTGGTAAAAAACATGACCTGTGATATTGGCAGTATGCAAACTCTATACCAGTGTTTCCCAAACTTTTTTGGCCACGGAACACTTTTTAGCCTATTACGGAACACTTATAATATTATTTTGTAGTTGTTTGGTTTTCAAATACAAAATTGCGTTATTTATTGTCAAATATATTTTATTTTATAAAACAAAGCAAAAATAGAACTTTAAAATAACTTGAACTAACAATTTCTAACTGGAAAGTGCGTATAAAGTAGTACAAAAATGAAGTGCAAGAGTCAAAATTAAATTCTAGATTCTTTCACGGAACACCTATTCACATCATGCGGAACACCAGTGTTCCGCGGAACACAGTTTGGGAAACGCTGCTCTGTACTAAACTGTAAGTTGGTTTCCACCACACTTGAATATTGCTTTGATAGACAAATGTTAAAATTGTATTTTAAGTCAGTATTAAAGTATGTATAAGATGGGAAACTCCCATATTATTGGCATCACAAGTTACTTTTTTAATCCATCTAGTCACTGACAACACTGTGCTCAGAAACTAGTTGTGTTTCAAATTTTAAGACACCTCATTTTATCGACATTCAGAAATTTCTCACCATGTGAACTGTCAGGCTTCTTGGCAAAGCAAAAAATTATAATTTTCTCATAATGAAATATTACCACCACCAAACAGAAAAAAGACTGAGAGGCAAGGATTGACAACTGTAGACTAGCTACGCTGTTGCACTGTTACTCAGCTTGAAAATTTAAAATTAAGTTTCATGTTGGCTTTAATATTGTATTTTAGCCTTTTTTCAGTAAAAGTTTTATATTTTTTTAAATGTAGATCTCCTGTGAAGATAGTTAGCAATGCAGGACTTTATGATACTGTCTATTTCATTATGGTACTTAAAACAGCTTTACCTGTTGCTCATGATATCCTCTAAGAGCCTTTTTAACATTGGAAACTTTAGGAGAACGGATAGGAAGAGTTTTGATTTCAACTGCTGTCAGAGTACTCAGGTCACCCACTGTCTTAATATTCTTTGCTCGAATGAGCTGCCCCAAACCTCTTGCCCTGAGGAAAAAAAAGGATTCTGGATATTTATTCCTACTAAGACATGAAAAGCTGTTGGTAGGATCATGTTTCCTTCAGAGGCTGAGAAGAGGAGGAAGAGAGGCGAGAAATTTGCTGGAATGTATAGCTTTGTATTCATATTAAAGAAGGAGAAAAAAGTCAAAGCAGATGACATCTTTCTGCAGAAAATAAAAATTTTGTTCTCCACAGTTTATTGAATTATCCATAAAATGAATGGCTTTTAAATTTAATTAAGTAACACGAATGGGAAAAAAGGAGTACTTCAAAAACAGGTCATTCTGAACAGGTCCTGTGGTAACTCCAGAAAACTTGTCTTTTGGTATATGTTTTCAGATTCAAAACACACAAAAAACCAAGCTAGTTGAGCCTAGTAAGCATTGGAAACACTCATCCAAGTTTTCGTAAATCTGAAATAATGCTTTTTCATCTCTTGAAATGCTCATTGCACAAAGCAGCATTTGACAATTTTTAATAAAATATGCAGACAGGTCTGGTGGGCATTATCAAACATTAATATTAGCTCTGTTGAAAGAGCTGACACATTCAGAATATGAATATATATAATAAATATATATAGCAAAAGCTAAAAGAAAGGTCACAAATACTGCAGAATCATAAGCTTTGTAATAAAATCTTGTTTAACAGATTGTGGAACACGTTCATGTTCTAGAACACTAAAAATATATGAAACAAACATGATATAGGTAGGCTAGGAAAAAAAAACAAGTTCATGCATCTTCCACATCTGAGTACAGACAGATAATGCAGTGGTAAAAACGCTAGCAGCTGAACCACAATAGTGCCCTCATTGCTGCTTTTACAGCTGGGGTTACCCCTGTGCATTCCTGAAAGAATTTGCCATGGCCTTTTTGTATTCTTAGGACAAGAACAGAAGAGTTCAGCATTTCTGCTAGATGCTAAAAGGAGAGTAAGTCTGACAGTAAAACTTCCTTTTACTTATTTTTTTGCAGGAAGTGCCTCCAATGAATGCTAGAATTAGAGACCGATACATCTTAACAGAAAGGTTTATAAAATTCATGGAGGTGTATTAAGAGTTTTTAGTCTTGAAAGGAATAACCACTTACCAAATGTTTGATGTAATCTGAGGTAAAATTATGTCAACTGGAGCTTTACAGCCTACCAATGCAGGGTACACACTCTCTGTAGGACAAGGCAGCGACTCCTTGGCCATTTCAGTAATCTTGAATAGTATAGAAAAAATTATTAATTAAGTATCACACAACTAAATACAGGAGAAAATAGAGAAGAGATACATGAACTGAAGCACTTCTTACTAAACACTTCTTTGAGCTCTTAAATTTAGCGTTACGAGATCCTGGGGACAGAAGTCCTTTGGTTGGAGTGGTAATATGCTGGATAGAAAAGAGGAAAAAATCTCTCAGGATCGTAGATATTTAAAAATAGTCATAGGATTTTAGTTCTCAACATAAAGCTCTTCATTTCACAGAAGGTGAAATTAGAATCAACCAGACTACAAAAGTATTTCTTTCATTTACGAATTCTAAAGCCTGTTCTATATATTGGCCATTCTTGGAACTGTTTACCCTTATATTTAAGTTTACACTTGAATAAGACTAGCTCTGATAAGAAAGGCATACAGTTATGGTATAAAGGTTATGCTATACAGATTGTACTAATACCTAGAAAGAACTATTCTGAAGAAAACTTAAAACAAACACAGTTTACCTTGGCTTGGGTATTAGATGAAATTTTAAAACTTCGCAAAGATGGTGAACTATTTGAAGAAGAATGACACCTAACAACGGGACTTCTCCTATCGATGTCATCTGCCAATCCTTCTTGGTAAATTGGATTTGCAAAAGAGACTCGACGAATCTGTTTTTAGAGATTAAGTGATTTTCATAACTAAACTAACAGAATTTGTATTGTTACAACTATATTGTCAAATTAATTTCATACTAGATAGATCTAAAGTCTGAGATTTCAAACAGTTGCATTCATCAGATCTCCTGATTCATACAGCTGTGTTTCACTAAAGAATATTTGAGACCATAATAGGTTGTGGGTTTGTTTGTTTGTTTGTTTTTTTTGGGGGGGGGGGTGTTACTCCTACAGGAAAGGTTACAAACTTTATAAAAAATTGCCCAAGGAATACAATAGTGAGGTGTTGACTGCACAGTGATTTTGCACTAACACTTATTTTCTTTAATAGTGCCAAAGCCTTGCTGCATTACAACTTGGGTGTTGCTACTATGCAAAGACTAATTAGGAGAGTGGCATAAAAAAGTGCAAACAAGAGAACCAAAAAATAAAGGGAAACATTCATAACGTGTGGCTGAAAGGACAGAGTGGGAGTGAAAGAGTAGCAGTAAGACAACAAGAAAGGGAAGATGCAGGGTTGAACCAATGGGACAATAAAGTGTGTATTTTATTTGGTAATCCACATTTTCATTATCTAGTGTTACTGACCTTACTGGTTAGTTTAGACAGATTCTTGATATGGGAGATTGGGGGGGGGGGGGGGGGGAGACAAACAATATAAATATACACTACGTATTTCCTTGGATCTTTGGTAAATAGACATTTACCCTAATCCTTTCCAATACCCTGGAAGAAACACTGAACGAGAACATACTGGATCACTGAATTTCATATTCATATGCTGGGTATAGGAGTCATACCATTAGAATTATTCTGAAACACTGAAATAGCTGATTATTTGTGGGGAAATATGAAAGTTATTTAAATCCTGGACATGCAACACTAAATAGAAACTTCAACTCATGTCCAATTTACCTCATGTTCCAAAAAATTCCACCCTAGAATTGGCTCATAAGGGGCATGTTACCAGGTGTTAAAAATTGAACTTATAACACAAAGGAAGTATCAGCTGTAACCACCGTAGACACTATCTTTCCAGTAAAAAGGAGAGCATTCAACAGTTTTTAAGAAATTAAACATCTATATTGCATGTAGCAGATAACTGCCAACCTGGTCAGGGCCCCATTGTCTGAGTTCTGTACAAACAGAGAAAATTAGAGTCTCTTGGCCCAGAGCACTTATATTTCACAGCAAGTCACATAACCAGTGTTAAAGGTAACCTGCAAAGGGAAAAAAAGCTGGGCTAGTCTCCCGCTTTCCATTCTGCTTGTTTATGATTTCATAAGGCCTGAAATTATTGCTTATTTTTTACTGGAAATTTAGGTCCTGTCTAGTTCAGAAGACTATGATGACATGAAGAGGAGGACATGATATCACAAGAGCCAAGAGTGAACGTTGAACAATTGACAAGGGAAGAGATTTTTAGTCAGAAAATAAAACAACAGTTTTATTTAACATCTATTTAACATCACTGACCACGAATTTGGAGAACAGAAGGTTTTATTAAAAATTCAATGCCCCCACCTTCAATTAAGGATGAAGTTAAGTGTGTATCCTGATCATCCTGCCCCTCCAAACAAATCCTCCAGCAAAACCAAAGAAGGTAAGGAGTGGACAATTGATATTTCCAAGGTAAAAACATGCAGAAAAATAATTTTTAAGATAAAACCTGTCAGCACTTACACATGAGAAAAAGGGGCACAGCCTAAAAAAATAATAAAATCTTTGCAGGTCATCATTAGCACTTCTACAAGATCATGTGGTAATGGCATATATGATAACCAGGATACTCAGTACACTATGTATACTTACAAGTGCTCAGTAGTACTGAAGACTGAATTACATCACAATACCTTGTTAGCAGGTGATGGGGAATCATCCTCTTGATGTCTTTTTACTCCCCTCTTTAAAATACTGGTGGATGGAGAAGCAGAAGGAGACCAAATGCAGCGTGTCTGCACTTCATTGGGGCTTTCATTAACCTTAACCAAAGCTACAGAATCAAGCTCCTTCAGTTTCTGAGGAGAATCCACATTGTCACTTTCTTCTGCACCCTCCTGGTCTGAGGCTACATTTTCAGGCACTGTAGCTGCCACTGCAGTTTCAGTGAATATTAAACCTTCCTCCTTTATCTCACTATCTTGAGGGACGTATGCTTTTATAGGAGTGTTCTCAGTCTTTTCTGCTTCATTCTGATCATGTTTTGGCTCATTTATCTTTGTTTGGTCAGGTTTGTTAACAGTTTCTGCGTCAGATATCTCCTCCATTTGCTCATTTTGACTCATTTCCTCCTTTTCTGTAGCTTCTGGCTCTGTGCCATTCTCCAAAGGAAGACAACTTTCTATGGACTCTTTCGAAACACAGTCAGTCAAACACTGTTCAATACTGTCAACTAGATTGGTGGGCTCTGGCTCTTGCTCCTCAATGACAGGGTCACAAGTTTTACTTTTGATATATGATGGTTTCTCTAGATCTTCCTCCACTGGAATAGCATTTTCTTCCAAATCATTCTCAGATTTTATTCCTCTTTCTGAATCCTTAGCGAAACTAGATTTCTTAATGGGAAGCAATGGTGTACTCATTGCACAAGGTTCCACAGACAGCCTTTCTTCAAAATGAGAATCATTAGAAGAAGTTTCTAATGCAGTCATAGTTATCTGAATACATGTGTTTTTATGCTCACTTTGTGCATGGTTATCTACATTTTTTAATTCAGTGAATGACTTTTCTTGCTGTTGAGAGTTTTCACCACAGCAATTGTAGCTCTTTGATCTTCTCATCCTCTTGCTTCTTTTGTGCTGGCACTCAAGTATCTGCAGAGGTTTTTCAGAGGAAAGAACAGAGTCTGAAGTAGTAGCTACTGCTGCAAATTCAGATAGAATGATTGCACTACAGCCTTCTACACTTCTTTGCTTATCAAGTGATTTATTTGCCTGTTTTGTTTTCAAAACTGGTTCAGATATGCATGGGTTCATGAAGGGTTCTCCCAATATGTTGGTTTTATTTTGTTCTACATTTGTGTTCTGCCCACCAACTGAAGTCTTTGCCACTTCTATAATTCCTGTAGATTCGTTAATATCTGTATACATTTTTTTGTTTTTCACATCACATGTCTGAGATATCAATACAGTATCTTTGTCGACTTCAGAACTTGTTTCACCTTTATTTTTTACTTCAGACAGATTCTTAATTTCAGTTACTATTTCTTGTGAAGACAGCTCCTGATTTTGGCTCTCTTTTTCTTCTTTCACTTTGCTTTGAAGAGGATCGCTTTTATTTTTCCATTTTCCAGATCTTTTCCTTTTGGTACTTTCTTCTCTTGTCTCAGAGCTATCAGACTCAGAATTTTCTATACTAGAAAGCAATCCTTGTGAAGCTCTTCTTGTTTGATACCGGGTGCGCCCCCTTGTCTTTTTCTGGCTTGTTATATCCGAACTAGAATCTTGAACATCATCTATTCCAGATTTCAAGTTATCACTTTCAGATTTCTTGGCATTTTTGTTCATTTCCTCTTGAAGACTCCTTGAAGTGTGTGACTCCTTTGGGCCAATGTCTTCTGCAGCAGTCTTCTCATGAAAGTTGCACTCTTTTTTATTTGCATTTTCTTTTGCATCTACAGCTTTTTCAGAAACAGATTTCTTGGATGCATCCTCTTTAATTTGTGGCACCCTCTTCTGGAAAGACTTTTCATCATCTTTACGTTTGTCCTTTTTTTGGTGACTGTTTTCTTTATCTTGACTGTCTGTTGTATTTTCTGCAATTTCTGACCGTCGTCTTGAAGAACGTCTTAGTGTTTTCTGATTAGGAGACATCTGTGGAACTTGATTGTCATCATTAGATATCTGATCAATAGATATAGCAACCACTGGAGGTGTATTTTCTTTGGAATCCAAATTGGATCCTTTACATTTTTCTTCCTCTTCTACACCATCCACAATTTGTTTATGCTCTATTGTTGTACTCTCTATCACTGTAGAATTGGGAGCCTGTGTTTGAGTATCTAGAATGCATTTTGTCTCTTCCGTTTGACTAGGTGTGCCAGATTTATTTTCCAAGTGGGTGGCAACAACAGACTCCTGTATACTTTTCTCCAGTTCTAAATCTGTTAACAACTCGGATTGCCTAATTTCTCCATGCTGTGTTTTAATTTGCCTGCGACTCAACCTTTTTAACCCAGTAACTGTTCCTTCAAATTCAGATTTTGAAGAACTTTTATTCTCCTCTTTAGGTTTTTCTATTTTGGAGGGAGTCTTTGGTGCATCTATGCTTTCCTGTTTATCTAGAACAGCAACAGTCCCAGATGCTCCTGATAGTCTATTCAATGCAGAAGGGCTAAAGGGTCTGTTCTCTGAACTATCAAACTTTTCCAAAGTAATAAAGGACTGTCTTCGGCTGGCAGGTTGCGGTGTTCCAGAAATAACATCACTAGAAGATGAACTGCTGCTGACATTTGAAGTGTTTTCAGTTCCAACTGAAGGCTCCTTTGCAACTGTTTCAGTTGCATGTTTTTTTGAATCCTCTCCTACTAAAGACTCCTTTGCAACCATTTCTGTTATACTTTTTTTTAAATCCTCCTCACAATTTAAATCTGAACTTTCTGGAACATGAGTGATGGATTTGTCTTCAATATTCACAGAATTCTCAAGAGGTTCACTTGATCTGCAGTTCCCAGTGATTTCATGTGTACTATTGTGCACATTGCTTTTTGTCCTCTCATCCTGCAAGGACAAATTAAGTGACATTGTAATTTTGCTACTTTCACCATAAACCTACAAAAAAATGCAATCCCATTTGGACTTGAAATAAAGTAAAAAAAGACTGCTCTGCCTAAATTATGACAATGATTTTGAAACTATCCACCCACTCAAAACACTATGAATTTTCCTTTGTTAGCCACAGTTCAACTGTGTAACTGTTCCAGTGTAACTGACATGCTTTATGGCAATATTTATTTTATTTGTTTAGTCCAAAGAAAGGGGAGCGGTAGAAAGACCTTGTGAAAGTCTGTAGACAAAGAACAGCAGTAAACTTACTATCTACTGGGTTTTATTTCAAAGTTATTAACTAGTACTTCATATATTGTTTTTCTTTACAGTATGATTAGAAAATATTTATATTAATGTACAGTACTTTCTGAAGGCAATTAGGAGTTGTTACTAACATCTACATTTAGGATTCTGGATACAATACAACTGCCATGGAGTCTGACTAAGTAATGCTTTCAAATGAGTCCTAAAGAGACAGAACACTGGCCTTAAAGAGTTAAGTAAGGAGCAGGAAAAGGAAGTGTAACAGGTGTGCATAATCTGAACACATGCTATATTACATCAATTTTCATGTGTCCTGAATTCTACACCCATTTAAACGTTCAGTGTTAACTGTGAGTCCTGTTCAGCCTGTACAACTCCATCCAGAGTCAAAGTTTATACGGCTAAAAAAGCCTAAGAGAGGATCTTTCTTGGGGATTACATAATTTATTATAAAAACTACTGTCATAAGTGAAAAAGTCAGCTTCAAGAATTACCTTACTACCTAAAAAGTACTTTGAAAAACTATGCAGACTAAATGATGTCTAAAAGGCTAGATAGTTTCCAAGATTTTTTGTATCCTAATGAAGTTTCAGGTCCAAACTCACAAGCAGATGACAAAAAACTTACATTTTAAAATAACCAGTGAAGGACAGTGTGATATGGAAGTCATTGAAAATAAATTCTTGGAAAAAATAAAATGGGCATGTGAAAGAAGTTCATAGATTAATAGATACTAAGGTCAGAAGGGACCATTATGATCATCTAGTCCGACCCCCTCCACAAAGCAGGCCATAGAATCTCACCCACCCACTCCTGTGGAAAAACCTCTCACCTATGTCTGAGCTACTGAAGTCCTCAAATCGTGGTTTAAAGACTTCAAGGAGCAGAGAATCCTCCAGCAAGTGACCCATGCCCCATGCTACAGAGGAAGGCAAAAAACCTCCAGGAAGGCAATCTGCCCTGGAGGAAAATTCCTTCCTGACCCCAAATATGGCGATCAGTTTCAACTGTGGGACTAACTGAAATTCAAGCACTGAAGAATTTCTCAGAACAATTCTATAATATTTTTAGTAAGTTACTGAAAGCGTCTTGTATCAATTTTCTGATTTGTCTATTAGTGTATACAGGTGATAGTTTGAGAGACTCTTCTTGCTGTATCTGGTAGTTACAGGGATAACACTACTTATAGGTTTCAGAGTAACAGCCGTGTTAGTCTGTATTCGCAAAAAGAAAAGGAGTACTTATAGTTACCTGAATACCTAACTGCTGAATCATGTAATTATATGACTGAGTTTAGTTAATCAGGCAGAGACTCACAAGTTTAGTATGATTATGTTCAAATAATCAACAGTGTATACATTCTTGCATATGTTCTTTTCCTATCATGCCAAACCTGAGGACTTTCTACTGAAAGTCACAAGCAAACATGTTATGGTTCTCTGTTGTATTTGGAATTCATCTCAAATGAGGTAATTTGAATCAATAAAGGCAATTTTAAAAAAAAAACACTAGGCATAAGACTATCAGTATGCTTTACACAATCATATGATTTCTTTGGCTGAAATTAATCTAAGACATTGAGGAAACTGAATAAAAAAGAAAATCTAAATTAAATTACATTGCAAGAACAAACAAGATTAGCAAATGTTCTCAAAACTCTGAACTTACTAGCACGTCTTTCTCCTTTAGTTTTTATTTGGACCCACATAAGACAGCCTTACCAGATATTCTATAAAATGGAAACTCTAGTCCTGTAATATAAGAAATTTAGAGGTGCTCTTTGTTTTTGACGTATCAAGCTTACCCTCTCCACCACATATCAATTTTGGTCTGTGATCAGAGAAGTTCACTCCATAGTAGAATTATTCCTCAAACAGATTATAAATAAGCGTGACAGAATTTATTTTTTTAAAGATAATTTCAATGCCTATCTATGTTTATTCTTAACTTTTTACAGTTGGGAAAAATTATGGGGGGAAATCAGACAACTATTTAATGAAATTAGACACATTCAAAAAATTAGAGTTTTATAACTGTTAAAATGCAAACTGTCATAATCACATGCCAAAATATACGAAGTAAATATCCTTAAATTCTAATAAGTTCTCAAGCAGCATCTTTCTACCTTGTCTATTTATAAATGTTGATTATCAATGGAAATATTTTTGTTGGCTAGTGTGTGTACACTGAAATCAAATACCACCAATAATTACTGATAAAAATCTAATCCTTCCAAGCCTATTATAAAGCATCATTAAGGTAGTTGTAATTCTAGCATCTCCAATACTATGAAACATGGTGAAAATACCTGAGGTTTCTTTTCAAGATCTTCTTTCGGCTCTTCTATTAAAGCTGTTTTTAATCTAAAAACAAGATCACCCAAATTAGAGCTGTTGCAACAGAACTTAGAAAATATCTTATCAGCACAAGCCCAGTTGGTATATCATACTTACAAAGAATCTTCCTGGTTCTGAGAATACTGAGAAAATAAGGCAGTGTCTTGGGATGCATCCAGATTATTGTACATAGCAGGAATATCAATTCTGGAACCAAAAATATCATTTCAGTTAGGTGTAGCTTTCTCTTAGAACTTCTAGTGAGAAACAACATGTAATTTTAACAACACACAGTTCCAACGCTGAAAATGCTCATCAAGGAAACCCTACAAAGACTGAACTGCCAAGTCCTCACAAGATTATTTACACTTCTAAATCATTCTGTGATGTGGAATGAGAGACCTCTTGCAGTGAAAGTGTGTTTCAGCAATCAGTGCTTGCTATGAAGGAACTGCTGTTTACATATGGGTATAAAGTTTATTTGATCTTTTGATACCTGTCTTCAGATCATACTGCCAGCTAAAGACTTTCCTTATTTCAATTACTGAAAAATGCCATATTACTAGTGTTAGCCTAAAAGCGAACATGAATCATTGGGTGAAGTTCTACAGCATGTGTCATGCAGGTGAAACTAGACAATTATGGTTAGTTCTGGACCTAAAACACTATCAGTGAATGAAGTATAAATCAGAGATTGGTTTTGTCCCTTTAAGATACTGTTTCTCCCAAACAATTCTGATGTCTTTAGCCAAAAGATCTTTTTATGTTAGCTTCAAGCTCTGGAGCTCGTATGTAACAGCACAAGATGCATAATTAATATCCTATTCAAGATTGAGATGGAGTACAGTAAACAAATTAAATTTAAAGTTTGTCCTGATCATTTCATAATACAACCACTCTTGTCAGTGCTACAGATTACAAACCTCTTTGTCCTAAGAACTTCTTTTTGGTGTTCTGTCAATAGTCTTGCTTTTGTTTCCAAAGGAATAACCACAAAATCAACAGATTTCTCCTCTTCCAGAAGTATCTCGCTTGGTTTTGTCTTTGAAGATGAAAATTCTAGTTTCAGCTATGGAAAGGAAAAAATTGGTTTAAAAACAAGATACAGGAAATACTATTAATGATACTTCTGTACCCCACGTACACCATCCCAAAACAGAACAAATACTAACCTATAGTAACTGTGGTTCTTAGAGATGTTGCATTCAGTACTGATCCTTCTGTAGTCACATGTGCACCTCACGCATGAGAGATGAGGGTTTTTTTTGTAAATAGCTGTGTTGGGGACATGTATGTACCCTATGCCTCTTCATGCTACCATGTGAGGGTACAAAAAAATGGAGTGGCCATGACCCTCTTCCAAGTCCCTTACAATTAAAAGCCCATATTAGCTAACTACTCTAAAAGGAAAGGATGGAGACTAGGTCATGGGATCTACATGCATGGCATCCTGAAGCAGCACAGTTACTGTAAAGTAACTCATGGCGATTGGGGGAAGCTCCGGATGACTGGAAAAAGGCTAATGTAGTGCCCATCTTTAAAAAAGGGAAGAAGGAGGATCCTGGGAACTACAGGCCAGTCAGCCTGACCTCAGTCCCTGGAAAAATCATGGAGCAGGTCCTCAAGGAATCAATTCTGAAGCACTTAGAGGAGAGGAAAGTGATCAGGAACAGTCAGCATGGATTCACCAAGGGTAACTCATGCCTGACTAATCTAATTGCCTTCTATGACAAGATAACTGGCTCTGTGGATGAGGGGAAAGCGGTGAATGTGTTGTTCCTTGACTTTAGCAAAGCTTTTGACATGGTCTCCCACAGTATTCTTGCGAGCAAGTTAAAGAAGTATGGGCTGGATGAACGGACTATAAGGTGGACAGAAAGTTGGCTAGATTGTCGGGCTCAACGGGTAGTGATCAATGGCTCCATGTCTAGTTGGCAGCCGGTATCAAGTGGAGTGCCCCAAGGGTCGGTCCTCGGACCAGTTTTGTTCAATATTTTCATAAATGATCTGGAGAATGGTGTAGATTGCACCCTTAGCAAGTTTGCAGATGATACTAAACCGAGAGGAGAAGTAGATACGCTGGAGGGTAGGGATAGGATACAGAAGGCCCTAGACAAATTAGACGATTGGCCCAAAAGAAATCTGATGAGGTTCAACAAGGACAAGTGCAGAGTCCTGCACTTAGGATGGAAGAATCCCATGCACCGCTACAGACTAGGGACCGAATGGCTCGGCAGCAGTTCGGCAGAAAAGGACCTAGGGGTTACAGTGGACGAGAAGCTGGATAGGAGTCAACAGCATGCTCTTGTTTCCAAGAAGGCCAATGGCATTTTGGGATGTATATGTAGGGGCATTGCCAGCGGATCGAGGGACGTGATTGTTCCCCTCTATTCGACACTGGTGAGGACTCATCTGGAGTACTGTGTCCAGTTTTGGGCTCCACACTACAAGAAGGATGTGGAAAAATTGGAAAGAGTCCAGCGGAGGGCAACAAAAATGATTAGGGGACTGGAACACAACTTATGAGGAGAGGCTGAGGGAACTGGGATTGTTTAGTCTGCGGAAGAGAAGAATGAGGGGGGATTTGATAGCTGCTTTCAACTACCTGAAAGGGGGGTTCCAAAGAGGATGGATCTAGACTGTTCTCAGTGGTAGCTGATGACAGAACAAGGAGTAATGGTCTCAAGTTGCAGTGGGGGAGGTTTAGGTTGGATATTAGGAAAAACTTTTTCACTAGGAGGGTGGTGAAACACTGGAATGCGTTACCTAGGGAGGTGGTGGAATCTCCTTCCTTAGATATTTTTAAGGTCAGGCTTGACAAAGCCCTGGCTGGGATGATTTAGTTGGGGACTGGTCCTGCTTTGAGCAGGGGGTTGGACTAGATGACCTCTTGAGGTCCCTTCTAAACCTGATATTCTATGATTCTAAAAGTAACCATTCTTTTTTTTTTTTGGAGCATGTGTCAGTATGGATTATAGTGCAGATGGCCGGCATGCAATATGCCCTCAGAATGGTGGGAATTAGGAGCTCCAGCTGCATCAGTTGAACAGAGATTTTAATATTGTTCTCTCCAACTTTTCATCTGACCTGTCAGCTATGCGCACGGCATAGTGTTTGACAAAGGTCAGTGGGTTACTCCATGTTGCTAATTTACAGATTTAATATTGGCATATTCCTGAAGCAGGAGGAGGATTCAGTTTGTGATGTGGTAGAGTGAGCCTGGATGTTCAGTGGGAGAGGTACATCAACCAGGTAGTAACACAGTGAAATACATTTTATCATCCATTTTGACACTCTCCATGAAGGGATGGCCTGACCTTTAGAACATCTGGTTACAGCTATAAACAGATGGTATTTCAGTATGAATGGTTTGTTCCTTTCCATAAAGCAGAGTCCTGGATATGTCTAGGGTGTGTGGTTTCTTTTCTTTTACATAGAATGAGGTTTTGAGGCTGACTGACCGGTTTAGAAGAAAATCTGAGACCACTTTATGAATTATCTTCAGGTGAAGCCTCAGAACTGTCTCATCCCAATCAAATGTCATGAAGTGGGGTTCAGCCATAAGTGCTTGAAGCTCACTCACTCCTCCTGGTTGAAGTGATAACCACTAAGATTTACTTCAGAATGAGGTGGTGAAGAGAGCATTCTGAGAGACGCTCAAAATAGAGGATCCACGAGCCTCAGGAAGATTATATTGAAGTGCCAGGTTGAAGTAGGTTCTCTGACTAGCAGGTAAGAGTATAAAAGCCTCTTGAGAAACTTTGATACTGTGTGTGTCCACTTGAGTATCATGATCCTTTCCATAATGGGTAAACTGGCTGTCTTATCTGAAAGTATGGGTGAACCAGCTGTTTCTGTTGAGATTGGTATTTGCAGAGTTTCCTGTAGGGGGTTGGTGTACAAATCCTCAGTGACCTCACAGTGGCCCTCGAGTCCTTCAAGGTGTCCTTCATTGTTCTTTTGATGAAGAGCTCTAATCTCTTGAATGGAAGGTGTCTCATGACCCTGAACCTCCCTTAGTATTCTGGATGCTAACTGCCAGGACAGCCACGGCCATGTCGGAGGAGTTCATGACTACCTGCAAGGCTGCTCTGGCAGCTGTTCAGTCTTCCCGTATAATCTCCTCTAATTCCTCCTTAGTTCCCTGTGGCATTTTTGCCAGGAAGGGAGTCACACTCTCCCATATCAGGAAATTACATCTGATGAACCATGCCTGGTAGCTTACCACACAGAACTGCAGTGAGGCTATGAGTAGGCTTTGAGCCCAAACAGAGCTATTTTTTTGTGAGTTATCCTCGGGCATGCCTTTGTCAATTTCAACTCGTCCTCCACTTCAACTACCAACAGTGGCCCTGGATCTGCTGGGATTAAAAGGCTTCTAAGTTTTCTGGCGGCACCTGAAAGAGCTTCTCCACCTCTTTAGACACAGGTTGGATGGTAGCCAGAGTGTGTCAGAGCACTTTGCTAGCTCCCATGTGCCCTCCTTTATGGGAATAGCAATTTTTCCCAGGGCTGATGGGGTTAAGATGTCTAAGTTTGTGTTACTTCTCTTGTATGGCCATTGTTTTGATATCCAGGTCTGTGATATGAGCATCATGAAATGCTTTAAAGCTGACCACTGGGGTAAGGGCTAGTGTGACCACTTCATCAGGTGACTATAACTCCTTCGGTGAAGACTGGGGATGCTGCTGTTTCTCCATTGCTCCCAATTCTTGGGCGCTGACAACTGGCTCCAGTGTTGGTGGCCAAGGTAATGATGCTGCCAAAGAGCCTGATCTCCTCTTCCCGGACCTGTGGCAGGACACCTGAAATGATGATCCTCAGTACGGATAGGATGGGTACTGACCCGGTTGCAGCAGGTTGGCCCAGTGCCATTCATGTCTTTTTTGAAGCAGTGCTCAGAGAGAGTACCAGCTCTAGGGTCACTCTCATAAGGTAACAGAGCATCACTGTTTGTTGCTGAGATGAAGAAGTAATCTGGCAATAAAGATGAACTTTGAATTGCAATGCTGTAGTGTAGTGTCATGTCCCCATTCTGGCAATTGCTGCCACACCAGTACCAACAATGTTCCCTGGAGGGAATCTCAACAGCTCTCTAAGATGTACTTTGGTCCTATAATAGGTGCAGCGGTTGGCACATATGCCTTTGTCAGTGCAGATGCTGGCAGTGCCAGCTTACTTAGGGCCACTTCCTTGGAGGAGGACTAGGCCCCTCTTCTTGGAAGTCTGAGGTCTCTTTTCTCTATGGAGAAATGTATGTGTCTGGTCTCCACTCACCCCTCCTTTGGCCTCGCCACTGTATTGTGGTGCTGATGCCAATGATGATGTTGTCAGTACGAGAGAGGCAAGTGCCAAGTCTGCCCGTACTGGTGTCAAAGCAGCTGCTGGCACCGGTGTTGGGAGTAGCATCGGCTAATACTGAAGGCTTTGATAAGCACCAATGTAACCAGTTTCTATTTCAAAGAGGTTTTCTTCCCTGCCTTCTTTTGCTGCTGGGTCCTCGGATGGCGTGTCTGCTCAGACGAGCACTGACTGAGGATGACCCGTTAGATTTTTTGGAGATCTCCTCCAGGTCTGAAATAATGTGTATTGAGAGAGCGTGAGCGTGTGTGTGGCCTCAGCCACGCTGCCCTCACCTTGCAAATCATCAATGAGAAGGATTTGCACACTGAATACTTAAGTGGAGGTGCCTCTCCCCCAGACAGAAACGGCATCCGCTCTGTCCGTTAAACAGGAGAGTAAGTCCACTGAAAAATCAGTTAGTGCTTATATCCTCAAGGCTTAGAGTCTGCTCCCGGGGCTTGGCATGAGGCACCTCACCTTCAGCCAGCTGCATGGGGGTATCTTTCTGGGGTAGTTTTTTAGGACTGTCCACATTAAAGTATTAATGAAGATAAGGAGGGCAAAGAAGAATTTCTTCACAAAACTAGTCTAAAAGATGAGCCTGAAGGTCAAAGTAGTGGGCTGGACACTTACCAGGTTCCATCCTGCTTCCCAGGCAGTAAGAGGGAACTGGGGAAGGTCCTGGCTGCGCCACCATTCATAACCTCACAGGAGCACAAGGAGGCACAAGGTACATGCATTACCCTGATGGACAGGGCTAGTCAAAGCAATCCAATCTCAGATGCATGAGGTGCATGTGCACCTACACCAGGATTATACACACACACACAGAATACTTTACCATGATACACAGCCAAAAAAACTAATCAGATCTTAATGTTCAGCATCCTGCTGGCTGCTCTCCCTATTCCTTACGGAGCCTCTGTTGATTAAACTTTCACTCCTTAAAAACCTACCTTGCCTTAAGTTTCCATAGCAATAACAAAAAAGAAAACTTCAAAAATACTAGAAAATCTGAATAGGGAAAAAGTAACAGCTAACTGCTATTAGGCTGGCTTGCTTCAGTCTGGTGGACTTGAGATACAAAACCAGCATACCCAATAGTCTCTTGTGGAAGAAAGTCAGCATAAAGTAATGTTTAATTTTATTACATCCATCTGCATGCATCTTACCTTTGCTGTTGTTACATGAGCAGTGGTAGTCTTGTCTTTCAGACCATTGGCCTGTGCCAGCAAGGAATCCCTTTTTCCACCTGATTTTACTTCTATTCCACTGATCTTTGCATCCCACTGGGAATTTTCTGTCTGTTTAAAGAGAAATAAAAATGGTGTTTAGTGTAAATAGATAAAGTAGATAACTTAATGAAACTTTGCATAAGATTCGATTTCACTCATGACTTCAAAAAATATGTTTATTTACCTTCCCCTGTAGTTTCCTCTAAAACGTAAAGATTTTTGCAAATATGCTGCATAAGAACAGGCCAATAGTTCAGGTAAAAACCAAGTTATTATCTACCAAATGCCATCTCAGCCTAGGCCCTTCAGCCTCTAATTCAGGATATGGTTATTACCTCAAACACTAATCAACCTCAAATCATTAAAGTAAAATCTTGATTACTGTAACTCCATAGGACATTGTTACTATCTCCAGCACAATTCCAGAATTGTAGAGAGTAAACCACTCATAAGTAGTAACATAATAGATACTTACAGCATCAGAAAATGGACCACTGGATTCTTCCACTAACTCAACACTTTCAAAGCCAGGTAGTAAAAGCAGAATTTTCTTTTTGGCTTGGCTTAATATGGATCTGTTTAAGGAAAAAAAATTAAGATTTATGGAAAAAGTGCATAAGATCATTAAGTTCACTACTACTTATAAGCAGCACACATACACTGAAGCAGAATGAAGCTCATGGATTCTGTACATTTACAGATACTTGTTCAAGAAAAAGTATCTTTTAGATCTGAAGCTTTCTACAAGCAAAGAACTCATTTGTGAGGACTTCCAAACTATCCCGATAACTCAGGAATATCTTTTCCTTCCCTTCCAAAATTCCTAAAATAAAACTTCACATTTAAATTCTCATTCCATACAATTTCACTCCTATACTAGGGATACTTTCATGGACTTAAACACAATTAGTGGTTTGATTATTTATCATCACTATGTACTTGACCAAGGTTAAATCCTGAGTTTAGGAACAGTTTTCCCTACTTAACATCTTATTTATAGGAAGTTATGATTTTTCATGTTTATATCCCATCACAAATTAAAAAAGCTTATGTTATCTTGGCTTGATTTATAAATACTCTGATGATGTAGCAAAATCAAACAACAAATATACAAGAGAGCATCTTACTTTAATTCTTCAGGGTACGTTAACACTGTAGCTTTAGCAAATGTTGCATTCCAGAACTGAGCACTTTGGTTGCGTATTTGTTTACTTTTATGCAGAAAGATTATGCACAGCAATGGAGAGAGCTGCTCTAATAGGTCGCTATCATAAAATCCAGTATAGTGGGATTGTAAACATACAATGATCTCTCCCAAAAGCTTTTCTAACTGGAAAAAAAGAGAAATGTGTAAATAATTTTTGAATCAATTACATATTCTAAAAATTTAAATAGTGAAATAAACAAGATTTATATAGTGGCAGTTTATGTGGATATGACAAGAATATGGCATAAGAATAGGTCTGGACTCAGTTCCACAGAAATACTAAACCTCTACATATGAAGGAGCCCATAATATTTAATTCAACACAGATTTGTATTTTACCCTAGCCAGTTTTCAGTTCAAGTTCGTAGTACACCTTTAAGCGAAATGCTTACTAGCTTGCCTTAATACAAATACAATTTTGTTTTTAGAGCACAAAATTGTCAGGATTTAAATGCCATACAGTATTTGTTCTTTCACAGACTTTTTCTGCTAAAATTTACCTTGTTGCTGAGACTACTGTACACTCTAGATACATCAGCAAGCCTATGAAAGAAAGAACATAGAATGGATGAAGTGTTAATGAAATACTCCTTAATCCTTTCTGTTCTCAGCAAAGATTTCCAATAATGTTGATATATGACGCTAGAAAAGATGCAATAGTCATCTTCAAGGTCTCACACCAACATATGAAGTTGCATATTATTTTAATAGCTCCATTTAATAATTTACAACCCTTCTTGATTCCCCCATAATGGCCATAAACAAAAACTTTTTAAGCTAATGAGCATGACAATTAAAAATTAGTTCTAATAATCCCAACAGAGTAGTTTACAGATACATAACTAATTGTTTTCTAATAGAGTAATTTCTGCTACCTTTCTTCTGCTCCTCTTGGTCTGAGCTACACTGACTCTGCAAGCAAACTTTCTTAACTAACTTCAGAGAGATTTTCAGATTTATCAGAGAGATAGCTATAGCAGCACCCGGAGAGAATTTAATACGGTATCCAATAGGCTTAACTGTAACCACTTTGCATGGTGAAAATTAAACAGATTAATAGTTTTCACCTCCAAAAATAACCATTTTTAAAGTCAAGTCTTTGGAAAATACAATGGAATGCAGAGCATTGCACAAATATTTCAAAACCTTTATATAAAATTTCCCACAACTTAAACGTTCTAAGCTTTTACCTAAGTTCAAAACATATGCAACTATAAACTTGGTTTCCTTATTCTTGTGACAAAACCCTTCCATTTTCTGCCCATCTATGAAAGGACTGTTCCGAGTACATCTTAATAGTTCTTAACCCATGCAACTGTATACTGAATAAATTAAAAGCAAGACATATTTTTGTTTTTCTTTATACGTTCTGCTATACAGTTTTAAAGTGGGTTACTTAAGATATTGTATATTCCTACTGGAATCTGTTTAAGGAAAATGTTTCACCAATATTACCACAGTTTCACCAATATTACAATGTATATTTATCAAGAAGTCATCCCATAATTTCTGAAATACTCACTTTGTTCTTTCATAAAACATTGCAAGTGGTTTTGACAGAGTTGCAAACATACTTCTGATCATCGAAGGCAAAGAAACGTGGCTGATGATGTTGTGAAGAATAGCAATAACTGAAGCACCAACCGAGATCAATGTTTCTGACTGGGTATCTTTAGAACTGAGCATATGGAAAGAGTTTATCAACTTCACTAGAAGTTTAAAGAGGGAGGCCAGTTTTCCAAGAGGTTCCTTTTTCCTCTTAGACCAATCCGTAGGTGTCTGTGGGGCTAAGGTAAAAAAATAAATCCGTTAACGACAGTGACCTTAAACTTTCCCTTCTGCTTTATATAAAATTCAAATCAATATTGTCTGAGATACAATATTAGAATGAAACAGTCCAGGGCAATAATAAATAGCATATTTGGACTCCTAAAATAGCTCATCTATATAAATACGCAGTTATTCAAATCCACTAGAATTTTTATTGGTTATAATTTAGTGCAGTCACTGTGGATTTGATTCCAATTTGCCATTCACCCACCCTTATGGCCTGGAACTGATGCAGGAGTTTTGATACTGGTTGAGCCTACATACTCTTAAATTCTATGTGTAAAAAACAGAAGGGCCAGATTCGGATAAATTTAGTCACGTGGACTAGTACTCAAAGCTGGATGAAACTGAAAAAGTTTTAATTAAAAGTTTACATCACATTATTTCAAAGGGAAAATCATTTCTCTTCAGCTGTAACTAGTACCTCCGCTCCTTGAGTAGTCCTACCAGATAGTTGCATGTAAGATACTACTCAGTGTGTGCAAGGGTGGCAGATGCTACAGCAAAAAATTAACTCAATTTCCATTTGAAATTCCATCTTTAAAATGTTCTAGTGTTTACTTTACTTTTAATGGCTACAGGGGAACAGGACAACCAGTAACACTGTGTGCCCAACACCTTCTGTATTTATATATCAATAGCTCAAATGAAACGTGGAAAACTATTTCACTAACATCGGACTTTCGGTGAGCGATATGGGACACAAAGCTAATAAAATGAAGCAACTCCCATTTCAAGTGCAGCACTGATAAGTGTTATGAAAACTAACCATACATGCAGTAACTTATGTTTTAAAGTTAATTGCTTAATGTATAAATTCTTCAAGGCACATTATAAGTTAAACTAAAACTGGAAATTGTAATAATCAAGTGTTGCTTTTTTAGGCTACGTTTCAACAAAGCAGTATGTGAAATGCAGGAGTTTTTGGACTGCTACTAAAAGAAAATGCCTTCATAGACTTAAGACTTTAAAAAATGAAACTATCATTGAACCCATAACTAAATTTTCCAAATTTAAAGAAAGTTTATGTTTTCAGTAATCCACTGAACAGGAAAAAATTTGCTATTGTCATAATATATACCAACCTATATCCTGATTTTCACATGTGCTGAGCCCCAAGGAGCTTTTACGAAGCTTACAGTGGAGCTGCTAAACACTCAATACTTCTGAAAAATCAGACTTAAGTGCCTAAGTATGAATTTAGGAGCTTAATTTTAGTTTCCTATTTTTGAAAATCTTGGACTCCGCTCTTAAGAAAGAAAAATACCTCAGAGGTGGACTGTTAAGAATATACAATACCTAATTTATCACTTGCAATAATTCTAGTTTTCAATCATTTACTCTTTGAAATCACAGAACAAATCCAATTATTGGAAATTTTTCTTACATCTATTTTTTGGCTGATATTTAGTACCATATGGTGTAAAGTTGATGCAGTCAACCATAACTGATACAATATGGGTGAGACCATCCACCATTGACAGGTTCTAAGGGGGGAGAAAAGAAAAAATCATTAGCAAAGCCAAATTCATGGGGGTAGAGAAAAATGTGAAACAGTGTTTAAAAGAAACCTAGTAGTGATTCTGGGTAACAATCTGGATATGTGTTCAGAACTATAATACATGGCAAGGAGACAAATGCAATTTTAAGCTGCAAGGAGGAAATCATCAGGGCCAGGTTACCAGCTAGTCTAAGTCAGCATCACTCCACTGAATTCAAAGCAGCAGATTTACACAAGCTGAAAATCCTATCAAGTCTTTTTATATTCTTTTCTCTATTTGTCTAGCTTTATCACATGTACTACTGCATTCAACTCTGACATCACATTACCAGAAATACCTGCAAATGGAAGGAGTTTAGAGAGAAACATCAAAAGCGATTATAAGTCTAGAGGTTTCAGAGTAGTAGCCGTGTTAGTCTGTATCAGCAAAAAGAAAAGGGAGTACTTCTGGCACCTTAGAGACTAACAAATTTGAGCACAAGCTTTTGTGAGCTACAGCTCACTTCATTGGATGCATGCAGTGGAAAATACAGTGGGGAGATTTTATACACACAGAGAACATGAAACAATGGGTGTTACCATACACATTGTAATGAGAGTGATCAGGTAAGGTGAGCTATTACCAGCAGGAGAGAAAAAAACCCTTTTGTAGTGATAATCAAGGTGGGCCATTTCCAGCAGTTGACAAGAACGTGTGAGGAACAGTTGGGGTGGGGGCAATAAACATGGGGAAATAGTTTTACTTTGTGTAATGACACATCTACTCCCAGTCTTTATTCAAGCCTAAGTTAATGGTGTCCAGTTTGCAAATTAATTCCAATTCAGCGGTCTCTCGTTGGAGTCTGTTTTTGAAGTTTTTTTGTTGAAGAATTGCCACTTTTAGGTCTGTAATCGAGTGACCAGAGAGATTGAAGTGTTCTCCAACTGGTTTTTGAAGGTTATAATTTTTGACATCTGATTTGTGTCCATTTATTCTTTTACGTAGACACTGTCCAGTTTGGCCAATGTACATGGCAGAGGGGCATTGCTGGCACATGATGGCATATATCACATTGGTAGATGTGCAGGTGAATGAGCCTCTGATAGCGTGGCTGATGTGATTAGGCCCCATGATGGTGTCCAGGGGAACGTGATGGTGTCCAGGGGACACAAATCAGATGTCAAGAATTATAACATTCAAAAACCAGTCGGAGAACACTTCAATCTCTCTGGTCACTCGATTACAGACCTAAAAGTGGCAATTCTTCAACAAAAAAAACTTCAAAAACAGACTCCAACGAGAGACCGCTGAATTGGAATTAATTTGCAAACTGGATACAATTAACTTAGGCTTGAATAAAGACTGGGAGTGGATGGGTCATTACACAAAGTAAAACTATTTCCCCATGTTTATTTCCCCCCCAGTACTGTTCCTCAGACGTTCTTGTCAACTGCTGGAAATGGCCCACCTTGATCATCACTACAAAAGGGTTTTTTTCTCTCCTGCTGGTAATAGCTCATCTTACCTGATCACTCTCGTTACAGTGTGTATGGTAACACCCACTGTTTCATGTTCTCTGTGTATATAAAATCTCCCCACTGTATTTTCCACTGCATACATCCAATGAAGTGAGCTGTAGCTCATGAAAGCTTATGCTCAAATAAATGTCAGTCTCTAAGGTGCCACAAGTATTCATTTTCTTTTTATAAGTCTAGAGGTATTGACCCCTAATGAAATGTTTATATTACAATATATGGCTAGCTGAAGGACATATTACAATATTACAATGTATGGCTAGCTGAAGGACTGTCACACTAAGAGCAAACATTTTTGGTTAAAATATTGTAAACACAGCAATAAGATCTTCATAACAAGGAACGCCATAAAGTAAATTCAATGGTCATATGATTAATCAATTGTTAATAGAAACACTAAGTTTAAGAGAGAACATTTCCCTGAACCCATACTATTTGCACAAAAAAAGACGACAACATTTTGTTTAAATAGTTGTGCCAAAACTGTCCAACTTTCATAGAATTTATACTTTGAAGTACTTCAATTTAAAATAAGTCTGAGTGCAACAGCTATTACTGAAAATATAAGAGTCAGGTGCAAAGTTTCCTATATTAGGATTAACAGATGTGGTAGTATCAAGAGGGAGTTTAACAAGTGACAAACTTGTAGCAATGCAATTGTGTCGCTCAATTTCTAAGGCTTGACCTTTGTTGTATTTGTTCTTAAAGGAACTAAGTGTGGTTAACAAAATACAGTTAAATTTACAAAGTCTAAAATTTTATGACAACTTAGTATATATTCACATGTACACACACTGCCAGCCCCCTATTTTGCCTGTCTGATCTGTTCTTATAAATAGGAGAACCAGCTGAAACACAGTAGGAAGAGCCAGCATGATTGCAAACAAAAACAAATGCTATACGCCTTATTTGTTGGTAGGGCTACCCACCTGAGAAACTGATAACTGATTAATCTTCTTAACCTTATTTTACAAGTTGACAAATTATTAGTTGGATAGTTCAGGTTTAAGGTTGTCAACCTCATTTATATTTAAATTAAATTTAAATATGTGGAGTGTCAGTCGCAGTGGATTTAGTAGAGTATTACTATACTTAAAGCCCAAATCCAAAAATGTCCTTGAGTTGCAATTTTACATAGAGAGCATAATCACACAATATTTGTATAGCTAATAATTAGTGTCCAGGTTTAGTCAACCGAAATTGCCTCAATCTCCTGTGCAGCTTTCAGTTTGCATAAAGTTCTATGCATCTGTTCAGTGGGATGGGAGGCCTAAGGATGAATCAGACACATTACTTTACTAATTTAGGGCTTGCCCACGTTTCAAAAAGGACTAGATCAAAGTGTATACATGAACCACTAATACGCATCAGCAGGTTCCACACGGACAGTTAGTCTGCGGCAGGCTAGCGCAAGTTAGATTCACACCCCAGCTTGCTACAAATTAAATGTTCATGTAGACAAGCTCTGAGGACTTCCCATATTGATTATAAAATTCTATTTCTGTTCAGATGGAACAGCCCTCATTTTATGATTTCAAGTTTACTGAATTGTGTATTTAACCACCATATTAGGCAGCAGAGCTTTCACTTCATGACAAAGCCATCTCCTATTAGACAATGTAAATTCCATTCATGATCTGTAAATGGGTTAAAACAAAATGCTTGTTATCTGTATAACTAATGTTGCTGGGTTATATTAAAAACTAGAAATTTGCTAAAGACTTGATATTTTGATAAATGCTTTATAAAATATTTTTATAACCTATTCATGTGTACATTTACTTCAAACTGTCTCTGAATCAACTCCTAATTTCTGTAGGAAAAGGATTATGTATTTTTCACTTGATTTGTGTAAATAATTCTGACAGTAGTGTACTATTTGCTGTAGTTTATCATCAGATCTACACTGCTTAAGAAGCTGCTAACCTAGGCTGAAGGGTATGGTACCACATTTACAGTACCATTAGAACTAGCACACATATGCCTATCTTTGCTACAACCACACCTGCAGTGTAGACCTAAGTTCCCTCTAAGCTGCGGGGCTGCATAGCTGCCTATTAAGCCCTGAGCAGGGTCAAGGCTGCAGAGGGGAGAGAGGTGCCTCTCCCCACCGGCCAAAGCACGGACTTGACCCAGACTTGCCACAGCAGGGGGAAAGGAGCCCCTCCCTTGGTACAGCCCAGCCGGAGTTACCGTGGCCGGGGAGACGTGTCTCTCCACCCGCCCTGCGCTGCTGTGGTGAGAGAAGGCTGGGGGGAGTCCTCTCTCCCCACCGCAACCCCATGGCAGCCTGGACCCCAAACCCCTCATCCCTGGGACCACCCCAGAGCCTGCAAACCTCCCCATACACAACCACCCTTTGCCCCAGCCCTGAGCCACCTTCTACACTGCAAACCCAGCCCCACCCCAGAACCCTCCTCCCCCCCACACCCAAACCCTCTACCCCAGTGCTGAGCCCCCTCTCACACTCTGAACCCTCATCCCCACCTCCACCATATTAATTTTGTTATGTGCACCCCACATAACCTCCATTTTGGTGCACATAAAATTCATTCCGCAAATGGATGTAAAAAATTAGAGGCAACACTGGTGTAAACATACCTTTATAATCCAACTCCTGATGTTTAGCTTTGACTGGGCTTATAACAAAAATTGATGGTTAAATTTAAATTTAATTGAGTAAACGCAAAACAAAAGTTAAAGTGGGACTGTTTTTCCATGTGCAGACTGCACCAGCAGGAGTTTTGTATAATTTAATATTGTGGTTTATACTTACTACTAGGGCTTCATCTTCTAGTCCAGATATTTTGGCACAAAGTTCTTCGCAGCACAAATTTTCTTCTGCTGTTGCCACTAAAGCAGCACAGCGGGCAAATGTTTTATACAGCTCTGACCAGGTGCGCAACAAGGACTTCATAGTGGGCTTTAAAAACCAAAACAGAAGTTGTACATTTACAATTCAAAATAGTAGTTTGCACAATTTTTCCTTCTTTCTATATGTCAGAAGTCAAGGTGGGCAAGCTATTTGATTTTCTTCTTGAGATGTGGTGAGGTATCCACCAAGTCTAATATTGATTGTCTTTTTATATTCCTTTCTTTATTTGTCAATAGAACTATACTAAGTAACTGAAGCCTCACCTACATTCTTCTAATAGGAAAAGCCTTTTCACATTTCAATTAACAAAACTGCATTGCTTTAAGATCTAAATATAGATTGATATAGATAAGAAATCCTGTGGTTACAAGTTTTGCTCTTTTTTCCCTATCAAAAGACTATAAAATGCCAAGACATTAACCTTAGAAGTACAGAACACAAGTTTATTTTTAAGAACATAACATAAAAATGCCCATACTAAGTCAGACCAATGGACGACGTAGCCCAGTATCCTGCTTTCCGACAGTGGCTAGTGCCAGATGCTTTGAACGGAATAAACAGAGCAGGGCAATTATCAAGTGATCCATCCCACCATACAGTCCCAGCTTCTGGCAGTCAGAGGGTTAGAGATACCCAGGGCATGGGGTTGCATCATTGACCATCCTGGCTAATAGCCACTGAGGGATCTATCCTCCATTAACTTAATTCTTTTCTGAACCCAGTTATAGTTCTGGCCTTCACAATATCCCCTGGCAACAAGTTCCACAGGCTGATTGTGTCGTGTGAAGTACTTGCTTATGTTTGTTTTAAACCTGCTGCCTATTAATTTCATTGGGTAATCCATGGTTCGTGTGTTACATGAAAGGGTAAATTACACTTAACTCATTATCTCCATACCACTCATGAGTCTATTGACCTCTATCATATGCCCCCGTAGCTCTTTTTAAACTGTATATACAGCATGGTGCTCATTTCAAAGACTTCCAGGTAAGCAGAAAAACTGAAAAATTAATAACTTACACTAGTTTAAAAGTTTCTAAGAGACAGAGAAAGATTTAAGAATAGCCAGGTGTGAGCTGATATGGAGCCAGCTTACATCTTATACATAAGATTCAGTACCGTAGACCCAAAGGAAGATTATCTTACCAATGTTTAATGTTTACTAGAAACACTGCATTTTTACAGAATCTAAGATTTGTTTTCATTTCTTACCTGTGGAAATTCTTGAATAGGGAAAATGTGGCTCATGGGTAACAGCAGTGCACTGTAAACAGCATTAAAGTTGTGTTCCAATGCATCTCCCTGATTTACTTCACTAGTCTAAATAAACCAAAAACAATAACTTAATAGATAAGTAACGTACAAGGAGCAAAGGACACCCGGATTAAATTTGGTTTCTAGTTTTTTAAATAAAGTTTTTACAAATTAAGACTAAAGTAATTCCATTTTAATGTGAATTAAATCTTTAGTTACTAGCCCACAGTGTTTGCTAGAGAATCTAAAAATAGGCTATCAACTAGTTAAACAAAAAAGCAACAATGACGGTTCAATTTTCAATGTTGAGAGAAAAATGCAAGAGTAAACAGAATCTATAAAACAGGATTCCAGGAATCATTTTGAAGCAACAGAAACTGGTACAAGCATGGCTGAGAGCTATTTTTGTTTACAGTATCACCAGGTTGAATCATAACTGGGATTGGCTGTCTGTTACCATCCAATTTTTAAATTTGCAACCATTTTTGATTTAAAAAAACTTTACACATTACACTCATGTGACAACACGGGCTTTTAGCTACTAGTGAAAATCAACATTTGTGAAAAAATGAATTCTAAAATTTAATTCAACTTTAATAACTAGAGATTTTATTGGTAATTTAGGTGACTTTTTAAATACTTTAAAAACTATTTATAGTTTTAAGGCCAGGGGACCATTATGATGATCTAGTAGTACTTCCTGCATAACACAGGCCAGAGAATTTCAGCCAGTAATTCCTGCATCAAGCCTGTGACTTCTGGTTAAGATAGAGTATATATTTTAGAAAGTCATTCAGTTTTCATTTAAATTCTTCACATGATAGATTCTCCATCTCATAAGAACGGCCATACTGGGTCAGACCAACGGTCCATCTAGCCCAGTATCCTCTTCCGACAGTGGCCAATACCAGGTGCTTTAGAGGGAATGAACAGAACAGGTAATAATCAAGTGATCCATCCCCCGTTGCCCATTCCCAGCTTCTGCCAAACAGAGGCTAGACACACTATCCTTGCCCATTCTGGCTAATAGCCCATTTCATTCCTGGGTAAGCTGTTTCAATGATTAATTACCCTGTCTAGTATGAATATATTTAGCTTCAGATGCCGGCAGTTGAACCTTGTTATATCCTTGTTCAGTAAAAATTTCTCTTTATGTAGGTACTTATAAACTGATCAAGTCACCTTTTTACCTTCTTTTGACTAAAAGTAAGTAGACAGTGTCTCGCTCTAAGGCTTGTTTTCAGGATCTCAAATCATTGTATCTTTTTTCACTTTGTCAGCACCCTTTTTGAAATGTGGAAACTAGGAACGGATACTACATTTCAGTAACAGTCTCACTAATGTCAACTAGAGGAAATAGCATGTCTCCGCTTCTCACTGACATTCTTCCCCCCACCCACTTCCGCTGCTCTCCTGCTGGTAATAGCTCATCTTAAGTGATCACTCTCCTTACAGTGTGTATGATAACACCCATTTTTTCATGTTCTGTGTGTATATAAATCTCCTCACTGTATTTTCCACTGAATGCATCCGATGAAGTGAGCTGTAGCTCAGGAAAGCTTATGCTCAAATAAATTGGTTAGTCTCTAAGGTGCCACAAGTATTCCTTTTCTTTTTGCGAATACAAACTAACACGGCTGCTACTCTGAAAATTCCCCCCACTAATACCTACAAGTATACACCAGCTGTCTTAGCCACACCCTCGCATTGAGCGATCATTTTCAATGGGTTAGACACAAAGACCCACCCCAAATTCTTTTCAGTCACTGTTATGTAGGATGTAGACCCCCATCACATAAGTATGACCTACGTTCTTAGTGCCCAGACGTATGACCCTGCATTTGGCTGGATTCAAATGTGTGCTACTCAAAGGAGCCCAGTATACCAAGCAATACAGATTTTGTAGAACTGGCCTGTCATTTACTACCCTTCCAATTTGCATTATCTACAAACTACCAGCAATGATTTTTATTAACTTAATTGGTCCCTTTAATTTCAAAGAGGAGGAAATACTACAACACAAATCAATTATGAAAAGTTATTTATTATTCCATCTACTTGATGTGCAATTATACTCTAAATAGTGACTCAATTATGACATTGTATTTCATTGATCCTATATAAAAATATTCAGTTTACAAAAGGTTGGTTTATATAACAAAGCATCAACCTGGACTCTTTTCTTCTCAATTATCACAAGACATAAAAATTCTGCAGGGCAAGTTATGTTCTTCATCACACCTGTGCAACTCCACTGAAGCTAATAGAAGTACTTATGAATTATTCACATTTGATATCTGAGAAATATGAAATATCAGCAATGTCATATTGACATCACTTTTCAGAATAGAGCCATACTTTAAAATCTACTTTTGGACAGCCTTCCACTATTGATCAACTACAAACTACTATTAGTCTCTCTTGTAAAAAGATGAAGTAATACTGCATTGTCTCTGTCTAACTAAGGGAATAAACTCTTTGGGCAGGTGACTGATAACTATTTTTTTGTTTTTTTTAAGAGCCAGGAATTTACCAAAATGTCAAAATATGCTATTTCTTGCATTTATATTATCATATTCTCATTGCTGAGAAGGCAATCACACACTAAAATGCTTATGAATATATGGTATAATACTATACCTGGTTAATCCATTCAGTCAATGGGTTAACTACAATACTCCACATTCTCCAAAGATGTTCCTTATTTTCCACCTGTTTTGCACACTGATTAATAATGCAGAACACGGACTCACTGAAAGCCAGAGGAGATGTGGGGCCAGACAAAACACAACCCACAAGGACTTCCAAGTTTAGGAAGAACCTAAAAACAAAAGTTTAAAAGTTAGATAGGCAATTATGGGGGGGAAGTATTATTTAAAATTCACAGGAAAAGCCTCTAAAATCAGCATACTGAGGTACAGAAGAACAGGACAAGTTTGGTAACAGAACAAACGAACATTCTCAAATAGTTCCAGAATAGGATCACCTACCTCTCATCTGTTACACACCATTCCAACAGATTATCACGGAAAGGTAGCTGAATTAAGAACAAAGCTGGTGTTCCCTTGCAAGAAAAAAAAATATTTAATCAGCCTTTTGAACTGTATTTTCATTAATGAAGTGTTTATTTCACAGTCAGAATAGCGTATAGGGTGGGGGGGTTTTCAGTTAATGATCCAGAAATGAAATATATAGGAGCCATATAAATTTAACTCCACGAGCCAGTAATTTATTCAGAGTCAACTAAAATTCTGAACTTGAATTCTGTACAAAAAAAAGTGGTCACTTAATTACAACATCTAGAAACTAAAGCATGAGAAATCTGAATCAAATTATTCAAACACCCTTACCTCGTGCAGAAAGCCACCATAAACTGCCAGACTCCTATACGGCAGATTTTGCATTTGCCAAATTATTACCAAAAACATATTCAGAGTAGTCATGAGCTAAGTTTAATTATTTTGTCTCTTGAACATTTTTCGTGACATACCACACATGTAGTCAATCAATTGGCTAGACTATTAATCAACATACTGCTCCATCAATAACATGTAACGAAAGGTTACATAACAGACCTTGTGGTCTTCTTGGGTACTGTCTACAACCCTTGCAACAAATAGTGTGCTCAACAATACAAGGAGGTCACTTTCACAAATATGTCTCTTCAGAGTATTTTTCAGACATGAGGAATTGCTAACCCTGTTTCAACTCATTTTAATCTCATTTATTGATGCAGTTAAATTGTCTGTGACAAGTGAATGCTAAACTTGTTCCAGACATTCTAAAATAAAAATACCAGTGAGAATGTATAATTTCACCAAGATATGGCTCTTTTGGTTTACATAGTGTACCGTGAATATGCACTGTACTCCAACTACTTTCTCTTAAGTATAAATACTAACAAAATTTTAAAAATATAATTTAGGTTTTACTTACATTTAAAAGATCCATGTCAGCAACCTGATATGCTGGTGATCCCAATACTTTTGAAGGTAATTCTTTAATTGTAATTTCTATAAGGGACTGAGGGAAGGAAGCAAACAAGAAAACAGGCAACTATTAAAAAAACAGAATCCTTCAGAACAGACTATATATAAATGTCTAATCCTATGCAAGAGATAAATACTAGCAAGTAAATGAGAATCCAGATGTTAACTGGTTTGAAGTTTTCTGTAGTGGCATAAAGAAAGCAGCCTTACAAACAATTGCTCTCTGAAGTAATGATAACTTAGGAAGAAAAGGGATACAAAGGACTGCACCACAACTAAAGATGGGTGAGTGGTGGTGGTGTGTGTGGGGGAGAGGGGGGCAGGGGGAGAGGAAAGAGAAAGGAAGGTCAGAAACCGCTGCAAAAGGTGCATTGCAGCAATGACTCACCCCCCACACCCAGGAATGTGTATAAAGGTACGAAACATGGGTGGGGCAAGTCTCTATGTCCAAGCAGAGAGGAACTCAACACCTACCCTCCCTCCCCTAGTGGAGGCAAATGGCAGGCCGGGTTAGGACCTGTTGCGGGCATTACGCTAGTCATCCCTTTTGAAGGGGGGATGGAAAGGAATTTTTCCTGCATCACCAGAATTGGCTTCGGTGGAATGTGTCTTTCGCCTTCCTCAGAGCAGGTGTGAGGATGGACCTTTTCTGGTGAACAGAAAAGGTGGTAGGCCATGACGCAACTTATTTTGTAATAATGGGCAGATGTTCAGTGCAGGTACACCATTGGGAGGGCAGCCAATGACCAGATAAATGGCCGGATAAAGGGTTTAAAAGGAGGTCCTGTATAAGGGAAGAGAACGGGGGAGGGGGGATTCAGGGACTCCTATGATTAGTACGGCAGGGAGCAAACCCCCCCTGTTCTCATAGCCCTCCTTAACCCTCTTACGAGGCTGGTGGATGGCAAGGTCCAAGCCATGGGTTGACTGGGGGACCTGGATGGAAACAAAGGGGGGCTGGTGAAAGCCCTGGAAAACTGAGTTGAATAAGCATGGATTAAACAATGCGGGGGCTGGTGAAAGCCGCAGAGAATTGATTTAAATAAGCATGGATTTGCCTGCACTGTACACTTTATCTGCCCGGTAGTCCCAGACATCTATATAAAGTTGCAGCCTGATTAAAACCCATCACAAGTCTCCTGTCCTTCTTGCAGTATACCCAGACAATGACTCACACCATGGGACTCATGCTGACATTTGATATATACTCCTTAAGGGTTCTTACAAAAGAAATCTATGTAGTTTGCCAAAAGAACTTAGTAATTTTTATAAAAGAATTTTAAAAATTGTCAGCTCTTTAGAGCCAGAAGTTTTGGTGTAGCCATTGCAAGAAACGGATATCAAAATATAGAAGGTTTCAATTATACAATATTTACTTAACAGCACATAAAAAAATTATCGGTTTAATAAAAAAACAAAAACAAAAAATCTTACCAATGTTTTCTGAACAGGAAGAGTGCTTGAGGTAACTATGTTTTTTAAGGCCTGTAATAATAGTGTTAACATTTCTGAACCTTGCCTTTCTTTCTTATTGCCTAAAAAGATAAAAGTAAAAAGCATGTTCAAGCCAGAGATAAAGCTACAGAAGTCTGCAGAACAAAGCACTAATTAGTGTGATCATCACTTAAAAATTATTTTTACTGCAACTAAATGAATCTTAAGGCAAGGACATTTTCTGAAAAAAATCAATACATAATGTGGACTGTAGCACCTTGCATCAATTTTCAGTTCCACTCTCCTGCAATTATGAAGATATGCAGTGAACTGCCCAGAGAAACAGATATAAAATATGTTATTTATAAAGTGTGCTAAGTACTTTACTAAATAATTGAGAGACAGTCAAGAAAGCTGAAATGCTTTGACCAGGCTACAACTCTTCCATCAGCATTCACAGTGTGAAGTCAATGCAATTTATGCTCCTAAATTGCTTCGGTACTTTTGAAAAATCTCATCAGAAATTGCCTAAATATGGGTTTGTGAGGCTAACTTTTGGCTCCTTTTTTAAAATGTAAAAAAAACTTTTAAAAAGTTCATAACTTTGTTAATGTACTAAAGTCTAAACTTCTCACTGTTAACACTGAAGCAATTCTGTTTTGAAATAACAGATTTCACGCCACTAAGAAAAGTATATATTAAAAATACAATTTTAGCTCCTAATGCTGCAAACATTTAGACAAATGCTTAACTTTAACCATGAGTACTTTAACCACAAGTAGTCCCGCTGACTTCAATGGAGTTTTTTGTGTAAGTAAAGTTACATACCTGTTTAAATGTTTGCAGGATCAGGGACTTAATATTTTCAGTGTTTTTGTTTTTGCCTACAGCAGCAGAGTTTTGTAAAATTCAGATAAGATACCCTATACCAGTAATGGAATTCTAAAAAAGATAGCATTTACAATTTTGTTCATTACAAATTTTAAAGTTGCAATAGCCCAAGTTTTAAAATTAGTTTTAAAGAGCTCTACCTGACTCAAATCAATGATTTTTTTTTCAAATCAAATTTAAGTAATTTAAAATCGCCTTGATTTAAATCACTCAACCCTGTTTAAGAAAAATGTAATCTAAGACATGATATAAAAAAATAATATGGAAAATGGACTGAGAGGTGACAAGACATACAGCAATAAGACCACATGGAGATGATTTTGGTATGCTCACATTTTGATGTTTTCAATTTTTAATATATGATATGTAATCCTTATGATGCATACCCTTATTATGGGGCTAGGCTGCATAACCCTTACTCATGACGAGGACTTACAAAAGTGGCATAATTTAGTCCCTTTTGCATACATATTATATATTGTACAAAATTAGATTGCATCTTGTAAGTGTCTAGAAATAGTGGGTTTTTATGAAGAATTTTACTGAATAGCCGAATACTTTCAGGAACATACCCCCCAAAAAACCTCATGTTTCAGTCATCAATGATAAATGTGAAATAAACATTATTACCTGATTCAATAGCTGCTTTCACAAAATCAATCATATGCTTCCATATAATATTTAGCATGGCATCTGCAAAACAAAAAGTGAAATTTCCATTCACAGAAGTCAGTGAAGAATACGGAGCAAAAGAAATAGCAATGCACATAGAAAACAGTTGTTCAGTTATGGACTTTGAAATGAATTTTAAACGTAATGCAACAACGCATAGACGAAAAGATCACAAACACAAAACTGGATATGTTGATAAGAAAAATGCTGTTTTAACATTTTCATTATTACTCTATTAAAAATCCTCTTTTCCCTACCTTTTAATTTTATTTCCCTTCATCTCAAAATTACTACACAAAATAAAAAGGTTATTTCACCATGAAATTTTTACCTGGAACCTCTTTTCCAATTGCAATGAAGCCTTCCTGAACTGCATTTATGAGTGTGCTGGCATGCTTACAAAAAAAAGAAGGGCTACTGATCAATGGATATTGAAGAGGCTCTAGGAGAAAACAGAAAACAAATCTGACATACCACATGTGGATTATTATTATTATTTTTTTACAGTCAAGAGTTTTCAAGAGATAGCCTAAAAGAAAAATCAAGTAGAGTGTGTTCTTTAAGTTAGTTAAACAGAAATTAAAAGGTACAATAACTACAGTGAAGTCCATGAAAGCTGCATGGACACTTTTCAAAGACACCATAATAGAGGCTCAACTTATATGTATACCCCAAATTAAAAAAACACAGTAAAAGAACTAAAAAAGAGCCACCGTGGCTTAACAACCATGTAATAAAGCAGTGAGAAATAAAAAGGCATCTTTTAAAAAGTGGATGTCAAATCCTAGTGAAGTAAATAGAAAGGAGCATAAACACTGCCAAATTAAATGTAAAAATGTAATAAGAAAAGCCAAAAAGGAGTTTGAAGAACAGCTAGCCAAAAACTCAAGAGGTAATAAAATTTTTTTAAGTACATCAGAAGCAGGAAGCCTGCTAAACAACCAGTGGGGCCCCTGGACGATCGAGATACAAAAGGAGCACTTAAAGACAATAAGGTCATCGCAGAGAAACTAAATGAATTCTTTGCTTCAGTCTTCATGGCTGAGGATGTTAGGGAGATTCCCAAACCTGAGCCGTCTTTTGTAGGTGACAAATCTGAGGAATTGTCACAGATTGAAGTGTCACTAGAGGAGGTTTTCGAACTTAACAGTAACAAGTCACTGGGACCAGATGGCATTCACCCAAGAGTTCTGAAAGAACTCAAATGTGAAATTGCAGAACTATTAACTATGGTTTGTAACCTGTCCTTTAAATCAGCTTCTGTACCCAATGACTGGAAGATAGCTAATGTAACGCCAATATTTAAGAAGGGCTCTAAAGGTGATCCTGGCAATTACAGACCAGTAAGTCTATCAGTAGTACCGGGCAAATTAGTTGAAACAATAGTAAAGAATAAAATTGCCAGACACATAGAAGAACAAATTGTTGCACAAAAGTCAACATGGTTTCTGTAAAGGGAGATCATGTCTTACTAATCTATTAGAGTTCTTTGAAGGGGTCAACAAACATGTGGACAAAGGGGATCCAGTGGACAATAGTGTACTTAGATTTCCAGAAAGCCTTTGACAAGGTCCCTCACCAAAGACTCTTACATAAATTAAGTTGTCATGGGATAAGAGGGAAGATCCTTTCATGGACTGAGAACGGGTTAAAAGACAGGGAACAAAGGGTAGGAATAAATGGTCAATTTTCAGAATGGAGAGGGGTAACTAATGGTGTTCCCCAAGGGTCAGTCCTAGGACCAATCCTATTCAACTTATTCATAAATGATCTAGAGAAAACGGTAAAATAGTGAGGTGGCAAAGTTTGTAGATGATACTAAACTGCTCAAGATAGTTAAGACCAAAGCTGACTGTGAAGAACTTCAAAAAGATCTCACAAAAATAAGTGATTGGGCAACACAATGGCAAATGAAATTTCATGTGGATAAATGTAAAGTAATGCACATTGGAAAAAATAACCCCAACTATACATACAATATGATGGGGGCAAATTTAGCTACAACTAAATCAGGAAAGAGATCTTGGAGTCATCGTGAATAGTTCTCTGAAGACGTCCACGCAGTGTGCAGCAGCAGTCAAAAAAGCAAACAGGATGTTAGGAATCATTAAAAAAGGGATAGAGAATAAGATGGAGAATATCGTATTGCCCGTATATAAATCCACGGTACACCCACATCTTGAATACTGCGTACAGATGTGGTCCCCTCATCTCAAAAAAGATATACTAGCATCAGAAAAGGTTCAGAGAAGGGCAACTAAAATGATTAGGGGTTTGGAACGGGTCCCATATGAAGAGAGATTAAAGAGGCTAGGACTTTTCAGCTTGGAAAAGAGGAGCCTAAGGGGCGAAATGATAGAGGAATATAAAATCATGAGTGGTGTGGAAAAAGTGAATAAGGAAAAGTTATTTACTTGTTCCCATAATACAAGAACCAGGGGCCACCAAATGAAACTAATGGGCAGCAGGTTTAAAACAAATAAAAGGAAGTTCTTCTTCACTCAGCACACTGTCAACCTGCGGAACTCCTTGCCTGAGGAGGTTGTGAAGGATAGGACTATAACAGGGTTTAAAAGAGAATTGGATAAATTCATGGAGGTTAAGTCCATTAATGGCTATTAGCCAGGATGGGTAAGGAATGGTGTCTCTAGCCTCTGTTTGTCAGAGGGTGGAGATGGATGGCAGGAGAGAGATCACTTGATCATTACCTGTTAGGTTCATTCCCCCTGGGACTGGCCACTGTCGGTAGACAGGATACTGGGCTGGATGGACCTTTGGTCTAACCCAGTATGGCCATTCTTATGTTCTGTTTTTATGTTGTTAAGTGTTCTATATTAACATATGATAAAAATAGCTCCAAATATTAAGCAAAAGATTAGGATCTGCAATTAATTATTTTAAGTATCTTATCTATTATGTACATCTTTAGGTTTAGCAAAATATTATGGAAAATTCAAAGTAATCATTTCAAACTACCAAGAGTAGTATCAAGAGTGCTTTGAAAAATGTAGTGCAAATACCTAGATTAAGTAAAAGTTTGTTTTGCTTAGAAAAAGCCAAAACTTCTGGCCCCATCAGGAAGTGAAGCAGCATTTCAATTCCCAAAAGTTGAATTGAGGGGATCACTATGATCCCTGATACACTAGAATTCAGGTTTATCCTTGGAGTGACTGGACTTCCAAATGGATAAGAACCTAAGGAAAAGAAAAACACAATTGTTGTGACTATATCGTAACTACATTCAAATGAACCATTTTAAAGTGAAAACACAGATCCAAAATAATAAATATAAAAATTAAGTCTGACAATTTTACAAATGGGGAAAGAGAACAATTTCAGACTTAGCACTGTGGTAAAGCCAGGAATACAATTCAAATCTCCAGACTCCCAGCTTTGTGTTTTAGCCACAAAGCAATCTCTTCCTGGCCAAAAATTCCCATTATAGTAAGTACCTACTAGCAATGCTTTATTTAAGAAACTATCAGTTTTCATTAGAATCCTTTATTTTAAGGAGTTTATAGTATGTATAAGGCCCTACCAAATTCACAGTCCATTTTGCGCAATTTCACACTCACAGGATTTAAAAAATCGTAAATTTCATTATTTCAGCTATTTAAATCTGAAATTTCAGATGTTGTAATTGTAGGGGCCTGACCCAAAAAGGCACCGTGGGGGGATCACAGTACTGCTACCCTTACTTCTGTGCTGCTGCTGACGGCGATGCTGCCTTCAGAACGGGGCAGCTGGAGAGTGGTGGCTGCTGGCCAGAAGTCCAGCTCTGAAGGCAAAGCCACCACCAGCAGCGCAGAAGGATGGCATGGTATGGTATTGCTACCCTTACTTCTAGGCTGCTGCCTGTAGAGCTGTGCCCTCAGTCAGCAGCCACCACTCTCCAAAGCTGTGCGGCCGAAGGCAGAGCAGAAGTAAGGGTGGCGATACCACGACCCCCTGCAACTCCCTTTTAGGTCAGGACCCCCAATTTGAGAAACGCTTGTCTCCCCAGTGAAATCTGTATAGTATAGAGTAAAAGCACAAAAGAGACCAGATTTCAGGGTCTGTGACGCATTCTTCATGGCTGTGAATTTGATAAGGTCTGTCAAGGTTCCTTCCACCCTCTGAACTCTAGGGTACAGATGTGTGGACCTGCATGAAAACCTCCTAAGCTTACTTTTACCAGCTTAGGTTAAAACTTCCCCAAGGTACAAACTATTTTACCCTTTGCCCTTGGACTTCCACTGCCACCACCAAACGTTTATCCGGGTTTATTTTATTAGGAAAGCATTGTTTGGAAACATCTTTCCCCCCCAAAATCCTCCCAATCCTTGCACCCCACTTCCTGGGGAAGGTTTGGTAAAAATCCTCACCAATTTGCATAGGTGACCACAGACCCAAATCCTTGGATCTTAAGAACAATGAAAAAAAACCATTCAGTTCTTGAAAAGAAGAATTTTAATAGAAGAAACAGTAAAAAAGAATCACCTCTGTAAAATCAGGATGGTAAATACCTTACAGGGTAATTAGATTCAAAACATAGAGAATCCCTCTAGGCAAAACCTTAAGTTACAAAAAGACACACAGACAGGAATATCCATTCTATTCAGCACAGCTTATTTCCTCAGCCATTTAAAGAAATCATAATCTAATGCATATCTAGCTAGATTACTTACTAAGTTCTAAGACTCCATTCCTGTTCTGTCCCCCGCAAAAGCATCACACAGACAGACAGACAGAGATTTGTCTTCTCCCTCCCCGCAGCTTTTGAAAGTATCTTGTCTCCTCAATGGTCATTTTGGTTAGGTGCCAGCGACGTTATCCTAGCTTCTTAACCCTTTACAGGTGAAAGGATTTTTCCTCTGGCCAGGAGGGATTTTAAAGATGTTTACCCTTCCCTTTATATTTATGACAGGGTCCTAACTACGTAACTTTAGAAGTTTGCTTCAGGACTGCTTACCTTGAGGTTTTAGCTCAAGATTAATTTTTTTTAACAATTTTTCAAAAAGTTATTTTAGCCAATTAAAAAACAAAAATCTGCCTTTTTGACAGATTTGTTACTGTTAACATGTATTTTTGTCGGTCTTGTTTTCCAGGTCTGAAGAGAACCTATTCTCTTCCTATGCCTCATACTTAGCTTTCCCTTCCCTTCCATATGACCCCTCCCTAGTGACCAGCACGAAGTCTGCTCGTAAAAATCAGATACATCATTGTTTAAGTGTGAAGTCTGCCTATAGTGGATAGGAAAATATTTTTCCCATTTTATAAGATTTAAGATTGTCACTAGTCAGACCTCAATGTTTCCAAATTAGACTTACCTTACCACTAATAGGCAGACTCCAGACTAATATTAATAGTTGTGATATACCAACCAAATGCATAGTGGGGAAAGGAAAGGTTTCCCATGTAAAGAAGCTGGTGATTGGGGTGAAGGAGAGATACGGGAGGGGAAAAGGTTCTGCTCTTAGGGGATCTGGAAAAGAGGGGGAAAAAAATAAGACTGGTGCTTTGATGCTGGAATTTGAAGCATTCATCACCTAATATTTAAGCATGCAAGTTTAATTCTGCAGATCACTTAACTATCTTAGAACAATTTTTAGAAGGTCACATGTTTTATCCTTCACTCTATTTCAACTAAAACTATTTTACATAACCTTAAAATTTAAATCTACTTGTTTTCAAAAAAGCCTCAACTGAGATAGAGATTTATACAACAGTTAGAGCTACTAAAAATAATTACACGTTAAGGTTAAATGAATGGCTTAACTAGACTTAAACATGAAAGTAATTTAGAACTGAGAATGGTTTATTCCATCCCTGGCAAACATCGATCCAAACTGCATCATGATATACGCACAATAGATCTCATGAGGTCCCTGATGAATTTGCTTATGGCTGACAAGAATACCACACAGTATGCAAATGAACAAATGTAACTTAATTATATATAAATATAAAATATAAATTAATATAAAATGATGTTTACAGACACAGGACAAAGAATACCTGCAATACCTAGGTACAATGCAGTGCACCAAGGAATTCTTTCCCGCATTCTCGGATCTGAATAGTTTTGTAGGCTTAAAACAGATACAAAGTTTTCTTCGTTTAACTAGCTACTAAATTATTCTAGATCAGTAGACTGATATGAATGTGCAGTATCAATATATCGCTTGCTATTGCTTCTCACTAGTGAGATACTACTAACACTTAAATTTATTTTTAACTTAGTTCCAGCATTTGAATTATATTCAGAAGCAGGGCTTATTTTGTACCTGATTTCTGTGCAGACGTTGCTGTGGCTAAACTCTGATTGACTGCTGCACGAGAGGGAGTTCCTTGAGGTACAACAGAAGAATCTAGACTTAAAGTGCTTTGGATTAATGGAACACAAACCTGCAAAGACACCAAACCTCAGTGATTGTGTGTATGACACACATGAAGAGGAATTAAAGAGTACATTTAGTCTCAAATCCGCATCATATCTTGTCTGAGGAGAAAGTAGAATCATAAAAAGACTAAACTACTCTGTAAGCCATAGACGCCAACTCCGTAGGTACCCCAGGGCTGGAGCACCCACGGGGAAAAATTAGTGGGTTCTCTGCACCCACCGGCAACCAAGCTCCCCTCCTTGCCCCCCACCCCCTCTGCTCTGCCTCCTCCCCTGAGTGCACCACGTCCCCGCTCCTCCGCCTACCTCCCAGTGCTTGCCGCCGCCAAACAGCTGTAGTAAGCTCTGAGAAGGAGGGGGGAGGAGCGGGAATGTGGCGCGCTCAGGGAAGAAGGCAGGGAAGAGGCAGGGCCAGGACGGGGATTTGGGGAAGGGGTTGGAATGGGGGTAGGAGGGGGCGTGGCAGGGGTGGAGTCGGGGCGGGGGCAGAGGCGGGTCGAGCACCCACCGGCACCAGAAGAAGTTGGCGTCTACACTGTAAGCTACTCATTTAAAAAGTTATTTCTGATATATAGCAGCTTTATTTTAATGACTACCAAATCAGTAAAGTTTTCCAATATCATCAAATGAAAGTTAAATAATTTCAAATGAGATGTTACTGAGACAGTGCAGTTTGCAATTTTTCCATACGGTTTTCTAATCTTTTCTATAGGTAGATCAAAAGCATAAGATAAGAAACAAAAGATTTTCAGTTAATCACATCCTGGAATATAATTTGATTGAATTATGAAACCCAGTGCTAACAGTTCGTTTTATGTGCTCAGTCCAATTATACTACTATTTAAGTAGTTTTCCATTTATCAAAATCTCTAGGTTCATTACTAGAGTCAGTCAAAACATGTCAAAAAGGCATTAAAATTAATCTAACTGAAAAGCCTAATTCCAGAACAAGCCTCACTCCATCGCTACCACTAAGTCAACCCTTCCCAAACAATTCGGGGAAAACGTTTGTCTTGCAGGTCCACCAAGTCCATATTCAACTTGATATAGAAAGTGAACCCCTCAAAAATAACACATCAGCCCGATCCCTTTCTGACTAGGGGGCTGTAAACTTGACTCCACTCTATCACAACTGCTGTGGTATCACTTGAGAGACTGTCGTTTTCCATGTAGCTAAAGCCCAAACCATTTAGGGCTTTATAGGTGAAAAAGACGACATTAAAACACCAACTTCACTGTTCTTAAACATAGAATTATTTGCCTACTATTACAAACTATACCTGCATTACTATAATTGAAAGATTTTTTTTAAAAAATGGTCTTTTTTGTTGTGCATGTGACACACACTAATCAGTTGTGTTTGTTTGTATGAGTCTATAGAAAAAATAGGCTGCTGTGATTATAAACCCATAAAAAACTAGCAGGAAGACTCAAGAGCAGATAGAATACATAAAACTGCTATTTACTTGAAATCTATTTGAATTTCAAAAACAGAGTGTCTTTTTAAACTTTGAAAAAGAGATGAGTAAGTTCATGGAGTATAGGTCCATTAATGGCAAGGTGGTCAGGGATGTAACCATGCTCAGGGCTATCCTTAACATCTAACTACCAGAAGCTAGGAATGAAGACGGGTGGATTGCTCCGTAACTGCCCTGAAGCTCTGGTACAGGCCACTGTCGGAGACAAGATACTGAGCAAGTCAGACCATCACTGACAAAGTATGTCAGCTCTTATGTTCACATAGAAGTTAACTGAGAATAAATGCATATCACAAAGATCAGGGTAACTACTGCTCCTTGCTAAGAATACTACTTTATAAACAGGCTGCCAAATACTAGATGTATTTTCTATTTGTCCATTGAATGCCTTTGTGTATTCTGAGCAAGGACAACAGAAGTGTTTGATCTACCTTTGCTATACCATTAAGTTTTTTTTATATCCCCTCTTACATTTTCCAAGTTAACAAATCCTGATCTTCTCAGGCTCTTTTCACATAGAAAATTTTCCAGATGGAGGCAGGATGATGAGAACTGAACACAGTGTTGTAGGAGAATGGACTTATATAGTGAAAATGTCAATATTTTCCATTTTATCCCTTATAGAAAGTGTATTTTGTCTCACTACTGCTGTGTATTGAGTAGAGGATTTAACTGAGCAGTCCACAGTGACATTCAGATAATTCCTCTTGATAGTTAATTTAGACCTCCATGTGTACCATTAGTACAAACTGTTCTTTTATATTGACCTACCAGCTTAAATTTTTGGAAGCATGTCAGGTTTGGTGTCTACAAGAGTAACAGTATCCTTTTAATAATTGCTTTATGGCTAAAGATTACAGAGAGTCCAGATAAACAGCTACAGAAAGGAGATAATCATAAAGCAAGTTTCAGTTTTATATGAACAAAACATAGGCTGTCAACTACTATGCTAAAACTATTTGCGTTTGTTACCTGTTCAAAGTTGGCAGGCAGCTGAGGTCCAAGCCTCACCAGTAAATACCACCAGACCTCCAGTTTCGTCAGTGCCAAAGCCTCTGTTCTCACATGGATAGAGCTCAATGGCTGCATTAGCAATTTCAGCCTTTTTGCACTGCACAATATATCTTGAGGAACAAAAAACACATTTTTAAAAATGCTATAAAAAGTCTAAATTATTTTGCAGCACAATAAAGGGCAATTTCTAAACTGTTAGGTTCTTTTCTTTCAATTAACACATTCACTAATTCAGCAAGAATCAGTCTTCTCCATCAGGACGTTTTCTAGGTACTCAGTCCTATCAACGCAGTCGGCAGGAAAAACTTGTTTCCATTTTCCAACAGGAGCCTGCCAGAACAAGTACTTCTGAAACTGTTTAGCAGTTAACAATGAAAAAGGAATTTTGTTAAAAAGTACTCAAAGAGGAATAAAAGGAAGGAAAAATAGCTTTTCCCTACAAATCCTGGAAGAAAAGAATCCAAGCCTAAAAAAAGCTAGTTTTGATAAATGATCCAAATTAGCAGATGTTAAATGGCAGAAAAGAAATTAACTAATAAGGAATCCCCCTCTTATCTGAATCACGATTTGGCAAGACTTGGCTACAGCAATGACAAATCAAGGAAAGTGGAAAAGGAAAACTATGGTATCAAAAAAAAAAAGCCTGAAAAATTTAGCTAATAGGGATAATTTATGCAATGAAAACTTAGGGGAGTTGTCTCCTGAAGGAATAGGAGAAAAACAAAATCTAATTTATGATGCCTGAGGAAGGTGCAAATCAGGGCTTAAGTTACAACTTTGCATATTTCTTCTGCTGGAAACAAAGCATTCAGCTCACTCTAAAAGATCAATATTGAGCTGGGTTGCCAATATTGGTATATGTTTTCTTGATGTATTATCAAAGTCATATGGATATACTGAATTGAAGCTATTTGACCTCTGTAATTTGAATGAAAGAGCACAGCCTGAAGATCTCTGGTACAGCTAATCTATGCTCTCAAGGTTCTTCACACATCCAGTTCACACTGTAGCTGCTCTTTTATTTTGGATACATGTAGAATGAGAAGAAGAAACCTGACTTACTCAGCAGTGCCTGTAAAAGTGTTCAAGGCTGCTGGACTTAACTCCCCCTAGAACACCTGCTCAACTTGTATTTGAGAAAATATCGAAAGGTCCATTTGTGGGCAGCAGAATTTGAGAGAGATGATGTTGAAACTTTGGAAGCGAGGCTCTACTGTGATAATCAAAGAGCATATCAATGCTCCACTTCCTGCACTAGCTCATTCTTGAAAGCAGTATCCAGTTCAAGATCTCTTTCCTATTATTTAAAGCCTTCTATAGAAATAGCCCTAGCAACCCGAGAATCTCTCTCTCTGTACTTGGGAAATCTGATCACAGCTACATTCTGCTGAAACAATTAAACTGTTGGAGCAATCTCTTGAGAAAGGGAGGCAATTTCAAAAAGGAGCTAGACCCATATCATAGAACTCGCTAACCAAATAAATTAGAATGACCGCTATCCTTATTCTAACTCTACTACTCAGTTCCTTATGGCTGTCTCCCAATCCCACCATCCTTTCACTATTTGGGATTAAACTCTAAAACCAAGAGATTCCGTGCAAGAATTTCTAAAACCAATATACTTTGGGTGCCAATAAAAAGAAATAGTGATTGTTATTTAACATCAACAGTATTTACTTGAGGGAAAGTAGGAAAATTTGAAGCCTGAATTTGTAGCCTTGTGTCTAAGTGCCACAGACAACATGAGAGTCAGTATGTGTTCCCCAATCTAAAGGGCTGGTATCAGTCATCTGTGTTTCGAGTAGAAGTGACATTTGTTCTCTCGCCGTGCTAATCACTTGAGAAGCTAACTCTGATCTTGCTCACAAAACAACGTAGTGCCCAATAAAAATATCTTTAGTTACCTCAGATGAACATTTCTATAGATATTGTGCCAGTAAGGCTGAGAAGTAAGATGGGAGATCTTTAACTTTCTTCTAGACTATACAGACACACTGATTATAGTGTAAGTGTATGTCTGTGGCTGACCTGTCCCTTGGATCCACTGGTAGATGAGGGAAGATATATTATAAGATACTCCTCCAGCAGTAATTGGCGATGGAGGAAGATGGGCAGTCACTCCTGTCTGGCTATGCCTCTGTTTGGATTCCATAATTTATTCCTGTTTAACCTGATCATCATCTCAAAATATTTTCAGGATGCATGGGAGAAAACCTTGTGAGCCCCGTCTTCATCAACAGTGGAAAAGATGTAATTGTTGTCTATGGAATCTGTCATCATTTTCTCAAGCTTTTCTCCAAATAGGTCTCTCATTTCAAGTTTTTCACAAAGCAGAATTGTATAATTGCTTGTCTACTTTCCAAGGGAAGAGCCATATATACCATCCATCAGTGCTGTTGAATTTCACAGCTCAAGAGGCGAACATGGGAGAGTCTATGGAAGTGGTGCTATTGGTTATGAACATAAAAAATGCCCTCTACAGCTCATATGTTAATAGTTACCCCATCAAAGTTATAGGGATTGAAAAGCCAGAGCCCAAGTTTTTCCTAAGGGTGCCTCTTTTAGGAAAAATCAGCTGGGATTTTGCCAAGGAGGCGCCTGCAACATCTGTCTTGAAAAACAATCATGTTACCCTCAAAATGCTGGATTTATTATCTGGTGGTAAAGATTTATAAACCCTTACATTGGAAAACTCTCCATTATTTTATCACCAGATTTGTTAGGCTACTGTCCTTCACCTTTCTGAAATATTATTTTTACTAGCTCAAATTTGGAAATAGATTCAAGTTGCAGTATTCACTAGCACCTGTTTGCAACTGGTTTTTAGAGGAACTGTTTTGGAAATAGCCAGGTCCCTTCAACTCTAGCATCCAATAAAGGAGGAAAAGGGGAGAGAACCAGTATTCACTCCTTAGCTTGAATGTCATGTTTAGCATGTTGACACAGGACAAAAAGACTTGCCAGCAAAGGTAAAACAGCATCAGGGTGCAGGGCTGACCAGGCTCAGAAAGACAGAACCTGCCAAATACAGCATTAGCAACACTATAAGAAGAGTGCTGTGCCGAAAGCACCTCACTGTATTTGGAGTGGGCCTTCCTGGCTGCTTCAGCATCAATCCACCACCATTCAGCTAAAATGAGGACAGTGTAGAGCTCTCCATATGGTGTCTGTAAACAACAAAAAGGCAAGGGAGAGCTCCAAAATTTCAAAATATTAAAGTGAAAATACACTGCAATTTGTTATAGATTACTGGCTAATAGGTAAAGGTTGTTAATTTGAAGAAGAGTGGTTAGTAGGGTAGTGCTCCATTGCTGATTGTTCTACAAACAGAGCTTTCTAAATGAAAATAGCAGGTGTTTCCCCAAGCTATCTTAACTCCAGTAGATGCATGGAGGAGGAAGATCTACTCTTGTTGGATGTGGAAAGGAAAAAGTCATTCAAACAACATTTGACATTGTAATAGGAAAATAAGACAACAAATAAACTCTACTTGTACATTTGAGCAACTGCATCAGGCTGACAGATCTTAAATCAGATATAGACATGTCTGAGGTCACAAACGTTCACAATAGCAGTGAAGTGTCTACATGGCTTGGCTATTAGTTACTTTTGACAAAGCTTTAATTTCCCAGTTTAATTAGCCTTTATATTCTGGAGAAGTGGCAAAGCAAATCCAGACAGTTTTTTCTTGACTCCACATAAAGCATACAAAAGAACAGAGAAGATGCATTTAGTCATTTCACTAGTATGAGATAAATATTGTATGCTACAGAACCACAGAATGCTAGGGTTTTGACTTAGATTCCTTATTTGTCCTGGAAAATTAAGCCACGTTACCACCAATAATCCTATCTGTAATTTCTTTAGCAGAACTGAAGCATTGCTAAATGATCTATTTTAAATAGCCTTGGAAGGATTAGCTTTTTCCTGGTAAATGTCAATTTTACCATATACACGTAAATTGACCAAAAAATACTTCCATTTATAATCATCAAAATTTACAGATAGGCAAAGAAAGAAAAATGCTGCTTGAGAACTTAGGAGTTTGATTTAAGGATATTTACTTTGTATATTTTGACAAAAGTGATGTTGACAATTTGCGTTTTAACTGTTATAAAGCTTTAACATTTTGAATCACAGCATCAAGTATAATTAAATAATTGTTGACAGACCCCCATAATCTCATGCAACTGGAAAAATTTAAATCAATAAAAATAAATGCTTAAAAATAATCAATATTAACCATACAGATTATTTAAAAAATTTAATTCTGCCAAATCTAATAATGAGGGTGGAGAATAAACACTTCAGTGAGAATTTAAATGAAATTTTACTAATTTAAGACACTTTCATTTTTGTCTCCTCATTTTCCTTCAGAGTAAGTATCCCAGAGAGAACGGTCCAATCTTACAAAGGATCTTTTATAAAGTAGTCAGGATGCACGCTGAATTTAAACAGGCTTGTTTAAGTCTCAGTACTGATTACAGAAGTAATTTCTCAAATCTCCAGATTCCTTAACCACCGTTCCCGGTAATAAATCCATGTAGCACAAAATGAAGAACTGTAGTGTAACCTTCTGTGTCCTCTCATTGCTATCTGTGCTTGGCCCAATTAAACTACTATAAAAAAAAATGTTTAACTTTAGTAATTCTACCGTGCAGCAAGACTGAGCTGAGAAAGAACCATCAATCAGTAGAAATGTGCACTTTTAGAAAGATAATATTTAACCTGTACATAGTTGAGCACTACCAGATTAAGATGGGTAAAATAGGTGTTTTCCTTTCTCCTGGTTAGCTCAACATTAAACTTAAGTTGTTTAATATATTTTTATCTACCTGGATTCAAAGCAAAATTATCTATCAGACTCTTCCATGCAATGAAGGCTATTTTCTTTACCACTGGTGATCCACTACGGAATCCAAGTTCTTCCAGTTGCAACAATGAGTTGATAAAACTGCCACTACGATGGAGTGTCTAAAGGTAAAATAATACTGTTTTTATACAATGAAGCATTTACACTGTCAGTATCTATTGTCATGGAACCTAAATAATAAAGTTATTACTCTTCTGCTTACCTTTCCAAGTAGCTTCACAAACAAAGGCCACAACTTCAACACATAGGTCTCATTTTTTGCAGAAAATAACTTTTGCAGTTCTGAAATTACTTTCTGAAGATAATAAAAGGTTGTTATATTTTCTTGTGCAGTGAAACACATAGAATGAGCTACAAGTTTTTATACTGAAGATTTTTAAGTTAATACAATTTCTAAAATACAGTTGTACCATACTGACAAGAGTTAAAAGGAAGTGACCCCAACGTGGGATTTAACTGTGCTACTAGAGGTGCAGCACAAAACTTGCAGGTCACCAGAGGTGTGGGAGGGAATATAGCAGCTTTAGGTCACCTTTGCATCTTCCCAATGCTGGGCTGCTCTGGGGCCGAAGTCATCCCTGGAGTGACTTAGACAGGCCCAAGGGTATATGAAAATTACAGCATCCAACCAGGCCACAGTGCTGCAACATCGTATGCCATGGCCCCACACCAGCATGCTCCTCCTGTTCCAAGTGTCACCTCTTACAACATCAGGGTTTGTAAGGAAGTTCTTGAAGGAAACCACTGGGGGGGAATGGAAACATCACCACCCACCTGGAACAGGGGCTTTTGGGTCCCCTTTATGCCAAGCAAGCCCATTCACCCTTTTTTTTTTTAAACAACTAGTTCTCTATCTTGACTATGCAGTAGAATAGAAAAGCAGACCTCACACAGTCCTTTTCCATTTCTAATATATATCTTAATATAGAAATAGTGGGTAATTATTTAACTAATCATTGACCAGGACCCCATCATGATTGGCCCTGAGCACACACAATAAAAAGCCCTTGCCCCTAAAGATTTCTGTAAGGCTTAGGCAGTCTTACAAAACTGTCACAAAAGTTTACAATCTGGCACAAAATTAATTCACTTTTACTTTAGTCTTAATGAGGATAGAAAAAAAAATGAAGATACTTTACTCACACTGGGCAAGTATAATTTTGCAAGGCTGGCTAAGGTGACTGGTAACATGATACAGAGCCATTCATCTACAAGATACTGGTTCAAATCCAGCATATGTTGATAACAGCCAAAATAGGTTGCCACCATTTGAGTACTGTTAAGAAAAGTTAGCTGATGGTCTTAGTTCTTAATACTTTCATTGGTACTCTCAGCAGACAAATCAAAGAATGAATGGGTATGGAGACAGAGTCCCCTCCAAAACTGTGTGGAAGCATACTGAGACACTAAGAAAGCTTGCACTTCTATTCACTGCCCAAGCTGAATATGCCTTTAGTTCTATCACTGTTAATGTGAATTTGGTTCACGAAAGGTAACAGATGCTTTGAAAAAATCATAGTATGAAATGGCCTTCCAGTCAAGGTTGCAGAGACAAGTACATAGGGTAATTCAGATAGTTAAATGGTATTTTAAGAGCATAAAAAAAAAACATTATTAGAAGTCTCACAGATTTCTAAAATCCTGAGGGAAAGAAGTTTTTAAAAGCATTTTCCACTTACAGTAGTCATAAGATGTTCAGTGATGACTGCCACCTCCTGCTGTTTCTGAAGTAACAATGGCATTCCCATCTCCAATGCAGCGGCACCTCGTAACTGCACCTTATGAGCTGAATGGACGACCATAGGAATGATCAGCTTTGCCCACCTCACAGCCTCTTCTCCCATTTGGGTTGGAGTCTGTTCCATTAGACTGAGTTCAACAAAGCACACATGTATTAACTACATATAGAACCACTACACTTATTGCTGGGCTTAACAAAAATATCCTTAGCTAGCATTATTCAAATATGCATTTATAATTCAGATGTATTATGCACTAACAAAATGCTGTTCAAAACATTTTCTAATAAATTTGAATTACACCTGGAAAATCTAACTCAGTGAAACTCTACATATCAGTATATCACTGAAGTACCAATTCAGATACTTCCCTCAAAAAGCCTCACCAGGGTGATAAAAAAGGAGAAATTTATTCTGAACAACTTCCTCTGCACTTGTTTTGTTCAAGTTAAGATTCCAGTTCTTAATGGTATAACCCAAAGCAGCAGATGATACTATACGGAAGTAATTTTCCATTAAGTTAGAAGGGAAAGAAAGCTAGTCTGAAGGACCTCTGAACAGATGTCCTTGTTAAAAGATTATCTTCAACTTGAAACCTAGTCAATTATTTTTAAGTTACATTTAATTTGAGGTCTATAAACCTGCAACCTCTGAGGATATCTGCCAATTTTATAATCATATTTTCCTATTGAGCACTATTGTCCAATAGAGAGCTATCATCTCTATTGCTGTGTGAAAGGCACAACATACACCCAAGGGGAAAACTGAATTATTCAGAAGGAAATTAACAACGCCCACAGTATTGCCAAATACACAATATAAACACACAGAAAAAAACCTAACTTTTCAGTTATAGTAATCTTAGGTGTTACTTGTAATAACAGTAGGTAATTATTCAAAAATCACTGAGTCAAATGTTTGTGTTTAACAAGTACATATTGAACCTTCTCAACTAAAGCCAGAATTGTTTTCCATACATCAGGAAAATGTAGCAAGTGGACAGTAGTAATTATTATTCTCTACTTTACAAGGTTTATTTTGGAAGGGCCAATTAACATACGGACTTAAGTGAACTAGCCAGTTTGCTCTAGAGCAGTTTCTCTCAATGCCTGGACTATGGACTGACATCGGTCCCTAAGATCTCCCTGACACAGTTTAGAGACTGTTTCTCTCAATCTTTTTGATACCCGGGACCAGCTTGCTGCCTTCCTAAATTGTGACAGGGAGAGCTCAGAAACAGGTGCCAGTCCATGAACCGGTCATTCAGAAACACCACTCTAGAGAACTTAAATCAAACTGATTAGGTCTCAAGTAAAATAAAGACTACAATAAGACTGAATTTATGTGTGCACACACACCACCACATCGTTCAGTGCAACTGTGTAGTTTGTCTCTGCTAAATAAAGGACCATGATAGATGGTAAGTAGAGATGGTAAGAGTATTTTACAATGAGCCTAACATGTCCGCTTCAAGCCAATGATCTTAATTCTTCACTCTCAGGAATACTAAATTCACTCAGTGTTGATGATAAAATCTACTATTTCTATTATTTCCAACAATGCCAATGGGAGGAACACACTCTCAGCAGTAAGTTTTAATCCTAAAATGTAGGCTTTGTAATTAAAAACTAGTACAAAACAGTATCATAATAAATACTGTAATGAACTTAAAACAAGTTTTTGGATGTAAACATTCCCACCCAATGCTAGAAACATCTCATTGAGTCTAGCTTCATTTTCTACGGTGACTAAAAGGTGTAGGGAAAAAACAAAGAATCAATTGTGTAAAGTAGAATAGACTTAAAAAAAAAGTTTAGTAACTTAAGTTGTTAAAAATGGTAGCAATAAATATTTTTTTTAACTGACTGTGTCCCTTTCCACATCAAAATCAGTGATGACGTTATAGGTCTGGAAAGACATTTTGCAAATTAAATGGTCTAGCAGGCTTCAGAAAAAGCATAAGTAGTTATGACAGTTCATAAAAAACCTGGACTTTATCATACTGATTTTTTAAAAATATATACAGGCAACGTTGAGAACATTACTCAGCATGTTTAACAATTTTAAAGTAGGTCAAATATTGTCCTTAAACTATAGTGCCTCCAACAGATTCTTTTTTCAAATGGGCTTTTCCAAAGACTCAATAAGTATTTTAAACGTTTAGCATTACAGTTCACATACCGTATGACAACATTTAGTGCTTCATATTCAACAGCCATGGAATATACATCTCCTTTAGTAAGTATGGTTTCTAGTGTAGAAATTATATTGGGTACCTGAAGAACAAAGGGATGAAGTTAACTAAACTGTCTATTAAAATTAGAGAAAGGCAAAAAAAAAAAAAGTTAAGAAGCTCACCTCCTTCCCAACAATTTCAGAAGGAAAGGTCTGCTTAGAGATTACCCAAAGGGCTCGAGTGCGTGTATTCTTGTCTGAAGTTTTTACAGCAACACTGTTCACTGTTGAAAGTAACTCTTGTATTTCAGTTGCTAAAAAGCAGAAAAGAACATATGGCATTCAAATTATGTTTTCACAAATTCTATTCATTTTCTTAGCAAGCTTTTAGGTCACACAAGAAACTTTTGCTTGGGCGTATCAAATGTTAATACAGGACCAGCTACGTAATTCCAAAGCCCACAAAAATGTAACTAACATTTTAACTATATTAAATATAAATAAACTTGCCAAGAAAGAGTGACTAAAATAGACTACCAATAGGCAAAAATATGTAGAATAGTACATGCGTACGTTGCCATCTACACTAGCACTATAGAAAACTGAAACACTATAAACTTGAAAGTCAAATTTCCATCTGAAAAAATGTACCTATTACAAGAAACACAAAAGACTAAACAAATATTTCTCTAATTCTCCCGTTTGTGTTTTTTTAAAACACTGTGCAATTGGTAGCACTTTAGCCACAGTCAATTTCACCGTTTTTTTGATGGTATATGCCAATCCCAGGTTCTACATGGTTTTAACTGTTAACAGAAGCAAAGCTGAAAGTGAAGAGGCTGTTTGTACAGCACTCTGGAAGAAAAATAATGTTCAGCATTATTAACGTGATGATTGGACATAGTATAAAGTTTGAGAGAGTTTGGGAGCAATGAATTAATTACATTATGCCTATACTACAGGGCAAGCTGTTCCCATCACCTGCAACCAACTCAGCAATTAATTCAAACATTTTACCTACAAATCTCTGCCTTGTTACCTAAAAATTCCTAATTTTAATCTAGAATTAAAGAAACAGATGAAGGCACATTTCAAAAGCGAGGTAACAGAAGGAGTTCTAGTAATATTTGTTTTTACCAGATAATTCATAGGTAATCTTTGAGTTAAAGACACAAAATCCTAAAGCTTGTAGTGCTGCACTGCTCAGCTCTGAGTTTTGACTAGAAATGTGTGCCTGCAAAAAAAAAAAAAAGACATTAAAACTCCAAGTCGTCTCACTAATTACAAAGTATGATTATGTATTGTGTAGCTTCTCAGCTGAGTTATGATTAAGTCAATGAAATGGAACACAGAACAATAAAAAAATCCCATGCTTAATAAACTCTTATACCTAAATGCAAATTGAAAACTATGCCTAGCTTCTACAGCACAAAGTCACACCTAAAACTACAAAACCTAGTTGGGGTTTTCAAGACACTTCAATAACAAGTGTCCAGATTTACAGGTGACAGAATTAAGTTCCAAAACATAAAAGAATCTGCATTGAAATGATTTTTACATAAATGGGGAACAATCATCCATTTTTTTATTATTGTATTTTGAATAAAATAAGCATTACATGCTTAAAATAGAGATGAACTGGTTACCAAAAAAGGAAGTCCGAATAAAAGGACCTGCAAATAACTTTATATTATGTCAGCAATATCTTGATCTCCACTACTCAGGCTATGGGGGTATTCACTACAAAGAAAGATTGTGATCTTAAAAATCTGAAATCATTCCATCCATTATGCACTACACAGACACCTCAGATTACATTATTCTTAGTTTTTATGATTACTAGTGCCAGCCTACTGTGGGATGCATCAGAGAAGTGGCATGGATAGTAGGAGACTTGTTCCCTCTAATTTTTGACAGGCCGTGTGTGCAAAAAATTTCTTCTGTGCAAATTATTGTGATTCTGTGCAAATTGTGCACGTGGTGTTTCACGGTGTGCGCGGGGTTTAGGATCTGTGTACGCGCGCACACGCGCACAGCTTAGAGGGAACAACGGTAGGGGTTGCTTTTTAGTTTTAAAAATATTTTTAAGTATTGGTTATAACAATCATAATAGACAGTGAGCCCTTGCTGCGAAAACTCAACTCGACCTGACTGCACCGCAAAACATCCATGCCTCCCAACCAGTCCTTCACATCCAAGAAATGTTTGTTGCAAGCCATTTTGTAGTCAAGAAGTAAATCTTCTTTTACTACAGAAAGATTAATCTCCATGATGTGAAGGAAAAGCCAGGAGAGTACAATTTACTGGATACTTTAATTCACAAGGTCAAAATTAGGCTACTTCCTCACCCAGCTTGACTGCAAATTAAATGAGCTCAGTATTAATTCAGCCTCACACTGAACCCAGATCGTGACTTAAGCTTTTGTACTTTTATTTACTTAGCCTTGTACAGCAAAATTAACTTTAGGGAACACAACACACACCTTAAATACTTTACAAAGTCGAGAAAAGTGTTTTCCAACATCTGCAGTGAACTCTTTTCCTTCCTCCCCGGTCAGGCGACTCCAAGAAGCAGAGAGAAAAAAATAAGTCATATTTACAAATATAAAACATTATATTCCTATGATAAGGTTTATATTAAAATACTGTCAAATTATTTATTTTTTAACTAAAGGTTACAGTTTCATGAACATTTTTTGAAAAAAAAATAGTTGAAAATAGCACTCAAGTGTTGGGAGAGGAAAGAGAAAAATCACACCTTTAAGCCTGTGACCATGCAGAATGACTAATATAGCCGATCACCGTATTGTGAATGCAAGATATTAGTGTATTTTATATTTTGCTACTCTTGCTGCTAAACAACTAGAGATTATTCATATACCAAATTGAAATTGCTACTGAAAATCAAATAAATTTTACAAAACCATACATCAAAAGGACTTAAAGAAAAATTAGTTTTTCTTTTTTTTAAACTAACATCAAGCTTTGAGTTTGGGCTCCAAGTATTAGAAAGAATATGCATACACAATAGCTAGTGATCCCCACCAAATATCTGAATGGAAGATTGAACCCTAAATGTAAAGGTACCACATCATAACTGAGCCAGTAAATTTTAACAGTTACAATTTGAGGCATGTGTGAACAGTTTCTTAAAAGAGAAACAGATTTTTTCTTAAGTGGGATCACCAAAGGCAACTCTGAGGAAGCTTTTCTTGCCAAGAGTTAAGTTAGCAGCATTCCATTTTCTCTCTCTCTATTATGGCCCCACTCCTGCAAACACTTAAGCATGGAAGCAGTCTCATTAAAGTCAATTGCATAAAGACACCTATGTATAGCTGTCTGCAGGATTAAGGCCTATCTGATTTTCCCCAAGAGTAACTTCAGGGAAGGGATGTTATCCTTGTACTTATTTGTACAGTACCTACATAATGGGTCCCCAACTCTCAAATGGGCTCTCCAGGTGCTACAGTAACTTAGTTAAACAGGCTAACGTCAAACACTTTGATAAAATATGATATTACAGAAATCATGAAGGATCCAACAATACAAAAACTGAGCTTTTCTAACCAGAAAAGCACACTGATCTCAAGAAGCAGGACACTTGTCCATTCACTTCTTGTGAAATTTGGAGCTAGTTAAAAGGACAAACGTAAAAGCCCATCTGCAAATAAGATTTTGATTTGCATTTTGATTTCTCAAGCATTTGCTCACAAATGGCCAAATATTTCTAAACTTTGCAGGTATTCCCCGCCCCTGACCTCCGGCTAAAAATCTGCTTGAATTTGTCCGTGCATGAGTGGGCCATTGGTATTCGCCGACAGCCGTACCGCTGAGGATCTATCCAATATGCCCCCTTGCCTTCAACAGGGTGCACGCAGAGATTCCCCACACTCCATGCCCTTCGCTCAGCGTGTGGCTGCACACACACGCTCCCAGCCATGCCTCCTGACCCGCCCGCTGTCTGTAACCAGGTAACACCGCCAAGCTCACCACCTCTCCCCCGCCCCCGCTAACCTTCACCTGGAGCACCCCACTACCCACGCACACAGCCGCTCTCACACCTGTTGCACACGCGCGGCTCCCGCATCCTCTCCCAGGCGGGCGCACGTGAGTGAGCCCAGGGCAGAGCCCTCCCCTCCTGCCCATCGCTTCGCGGCCCCGACAGAAAGCCGTGCCAGAGCTACACCCCCTCCCGCCATCGCCCCAGCCCGGGGGTGTCGGAGCTGGGGGCGGGGCGGCCGCACTCACTTCACGATGGTGAGGTGTGCGTCCGTGAGCTCCCCCGGCGGGGCGGCCGGGTCCTCCAGGGTCTCCAGCAGGGGCAGCAAGCTGGGGCCGGCGGCGGCGGCGCTCATGGTGCTCCGGGAGCAGAGAGACGTAGGCTGGTGAGCAGAGAATCCTCGCGCCCGCTCCGCTCCCCTCCCGCACCGGCCGCTTCGCTTTCTCCCGGGCTAAGATGGCGGCGCGCGGGACTCGCCGCCAGACAGACCGGGACTGGACGTGCCCAGCCAATCAGCGCCGCAAAAGGCGGTGCCTGAGGCCGAACGCCGAGATAGCGAGCGGCGCCGTCCCTCCCACCGCGCGCTTTTCCCCGCGCAGCCATGCCTGCGGTGGAGCGCCGAGTCGTCGATCGGGACCCCTCCTTCTCCCCTGTGACGGATTGGGCCCTTCTTGGCTGTCTGCAGCTCTTGCAGCGCTCGCCAGTTGGGGGCAGGGTAGATCATGTCTGAGCTGCTGCCTGCAATCCACTCCTGAACAGCTGCTAGGGGGCTCTTGTAACTGCAGCCAAGCCAGAGGAAATGGGCACTTGAGCCATCTGGAGCAAAGGGATTTAGGGTTACCATATTTCAGGTTCCCAAAAAGAGGACACTGCAGGAGGTGGGGGAGGGGCAGTTGGGGGGGTACAGTTGGGGATGCGAGAGGGGGTTACTCACTGGTGGTGGGGAGCAGTGTCACTCCCTGCCCAGGTCGCACCAATCAGCACCTCCCTGCAGGACACTCTCTGCAGGGCTGGGAGCCGGGGCCTGGGTGAGTGCGATCCTGCAGCTGTGGCTTGCCAGGGACTGGACCACTCAGCTGCTGATGCAAGGGAGGGGCCAAACAGGAAGCAGACCAATCACAGCTCTTTCTGAGCTGCGGCATCTGCTCTGAAAAAATCCTTGACGTTGCCTGTTATTTGAAAAATCTACCTAGTCAAGAGGATGAAGACTCAAAAAAGAGGAAATGTCAGGAAAACCCAGATGTATGGTGGCTCTAGATAGGGTTATGGGCCAGGAAAATAATGAATCAAACTGCATGAGCGGGAGCTATGCCACATTGACCATATGCACCATCTTACAGGGGAAACCAGTTTTAGGACCTTCTGTTGCTGGCTTGGTGTGAAAATTGCCAGATTTACTCTGGAGGCAAAGGAGAAAATCTGTGCAAAGTCTGAAGAAAATTCATCCAACTGTTTCTGAGTTTCTGGTTGTTTGGTTAACCAACAAACGGGCTTTAGATCCTGTGTACTATGCCACTGTTGTGCTTCCTGGGGTACCCACAGTTGCGAGGCACCTCACTACCACCTCCCCTTAGTGTGAGGAAGACTTGTCTGTGCCTGCCACGAGCAACACAAGAATTCCTCTCTAGGTCTTGCATGCCCTGCCCTGTCTCTCTACGTTGGTGATTGGCACACTCCAACCCCTGAGCCCTCCGAGCATCTCCTTAGAGCGTCCAGTCCAGCTCCTGGTCCACTGGACACTTGCAGTATTCACAGATACACTGCTTCCAAAGAAGCAGTACTCTTCACCTTTCCAATTACTCCTCAGATCACTGCCTAACACATACAACTTAGATATGTTTATAGTGAAAACAAGTAAAAGTTTATTGAACAACAAAGTATAGAGATTACAGTCATATCAAGTAGGAGTATTAGCAATAAACAATTATGTATAAAATAAAATCATAACATACATTCTGGAAGCTAGAGTTACTTAAGTAGATACTTTAATGTCTTATAGCGATTTACAGCCAGGCTTGGCTGTGATCTTCCATTTATGAGACAAGTCACACTGTCAGCTTGCCTCCTTGGTGAAAGGCCCAGGGTGTTCCTCTGCACTCCCAGATATATCCCAACAATCCATTGTCTTTACTCGTACATAGGATGCTCTTCTGCTGGTTATTTCTTCCTGTAAATTTCCTTTCTTGAAGATTTCACAATTTCTTGACTAGCATTTGGCTAAGCATGGAAAAAGGCACACATCATGAGACACATAATACAGAATGACCAGACAGGGATATAAGCATCTGTCACCCCCTATAGCGGAGGCCTCACCAGACATGAGTAATTAACATACAGAGGGAGGTCTGATTTCTTGGAGGACAGTGTTTAGGGAGGTAAACAGATCATTAGGCTGAAAACAGAATGTTTGTGCTAAATAAGATACATAAATAGGTCATCAGGCTAAAATGACAGAATGTCTGAGCTTGCTAAGATAAGAGTGAGAACACCCAAGGAACCATTTACTAACAATGGACAAGATAAGTTAGGAATGTAGAGATGAGCTAAAGGGTAGGCTGAGCATGGACAATGCATGGACAGAGTATGCTGCACAGAGATTGGCTTGGTTCCTATGCAGGAAACAATCCCAAAATGTGATGCAAAAAGAATAGTAAATGCAATGTATTGTGTAAATGTATATAAAGGAAGAGGTTTTCTGTGTAACTTTAGATGTGTGGTATGCCCTATACGCACCCCCTACGCGTGAGTCTGATCAGCTCAGCATAGATTTTCTATATGCCAAATAAAGGAATCAGAGTGACAAAATCTGGAGTCAAACCGATGACTAGAGAACTGGATGAAGTGTTCTCCCAGAACTGGACAAGGTGTTCTGGATAAGTCAAGTGGAAAGGTCTCAGAGGAAATCCCAAAACTCCTTCCTGAAAAGAATCTGTTTGAGACATGTCACCTCCTGTTACCTATCTTAGGGACATAATTTTCAATATAAATGCATAATTCCTTCAATATTACCTACACTTACTTTTCACAATGATTATGATTACCAGTGGGCTTCTGGCTCACATTAGAGACCTCATATGGCACCCCTTAGTGAATTATTATGTATATATCTGACTCAGGGGATCCCAGTAAAACTCTATGCCCCTCCTGCGCTCTCTGCCAGTTGGTACCAAGAGATCACTGAGTCACACTAGTCATTAAAAAGAAATAAGAAGGTTACTTACCTTACAGTAACTGCAGTGGTTCGGAGATGCCCATGAGTTGCAAGTGGCTCTTTAATGTGTCTCCTGTGGCTCTTTGCAGCACATGATATTAAAACACTTTGATTTAATTATTAATGAATCAGGGTGCTTTTAGTATATTATTAATATTAACCAATTAAATTATGAACTTGCACTAAGTTATTAACTTATTTGCTGTGAGAATAATATATATATAAACTGAATATTTTCCTGTCATACTGTTTAAATATGAATAATACTATAATAAATGAAACAATGAATTCACACTACTGGAGCTCTTTTGGGTAATGTTGATCATTGAACCACTGAGGTCTGGTTTAGATGCTTCTTAGGAATCCCAGATTCTGCAAAAAGAAAAGTAGTACTTGTGGCACCTTAGAGACTAACCAATTTATTTGAGCATAAGCTTTCGTGAGCTATAGCTTACTTCATCGGATGTAGCTCACGAACGTTTATGCTCAAATAAATTGGTTAGTCTCTAAGGTGCCACTAGTACTCCTTTTCTTTTTGCGGATACAGACTAACACGGCTGCTACTATGAAACCAGTCTCTGCAATGCTTCTAAACTCTTCAGAAACAGATTTTGAACTTACAAATTCAGTTGGGGCCCCAGTCTCTGCAATGTTTGTAAGTGCCACAGAGATGAGCACAGGTCTTAGTAGCACAGTAACTCTTACATCTCCATGACTGAAGCATCTGTAGAGCTAAATAGAAGCCTTTGATGTACTATGATAGAATTCTCAAGAGTAACAAATTCTTGAAAGTACTTTTTAGAATGATATCACTGAAGTGACTGCACAGCTGTTTGTTGGGGATTGTTTTGTTAGCCTGGGATACTTTCAGCAGATATTTTGATTCTGGCCCACATCAGTTTAAGACTTCAGACTTGTCAGTTAAAAAAATAATATTTTATGCTAAATAAAATGTTAACAGACCCACTTAACACTCTTAGTTTGTGATCAGCAAACTACTACTGCTGAGTTTAGAAAAATAAAGAACATGTAATTATAGGAACATGTCTGTGGCTTCATTCAGTCCACCAGAGGGCAGGATTTAGACATAGTATTTATTTAAATTTGATTCAATTCTTAACAGGTGCATCTTGATTCAATTAAGTATAGTTATATGAAACTTATTTTCCGCCAGTACTAATGTGATGCCATAGTAAGGTAATTTGGAATGAGAGGCTGAAATAGTTGTATTATTGCTCAACAGAGTTATGAAATGTTTTTTTATGTAAATTATAATTTTATATGTAGTGTTCTGTTCCCTTTAGGAGATTTCAGATGTCGTATTTTCTGGGTTACTTCATTTCTGATTCATTCCCACTGCTACTGATTTGTATCAGAAATGTTCAAAGCATCAGGAACTCTTCTGATAACAGAGTCCATATTGCATCCTAGTCCATTTTTTGTGGTGTTTTAGAAACATATAGGTGCATGTCTGAGAATAACAAAGGAATGACGTGTGATGTAGAGATGAAGGAACCCACAGCAAATAAGGGCCAGAAAATTACATAACTTTTGAAGAGTGGTGGTGACGGGAAAAGGCCACTTGGACTTAAGTTATGTTAGCTTACTTACACAGTTCATACTACTATATATTATATTAGCTTTGGGGAATCCAGATTCCCAAAGGAAAGGAGCTATTTATGATATAGAGATTTCAGCAGCTGGAAAGGGAACATTTGTGTATTACAAAACTAGAGGATAACTGGATTTTGTAATGGCTGCCAGCATACAGTGGTTTTGGAACAGTTAAGAAACAGACCTGTTTCTGTAACTCTCATGTTACATGCTGGAAATGAAAATGGTCCTTTCTGGTGGATGCTGTCTCTACTTTTATGTACTTGTCGTATGTTTTTGGCTTCATCTTAAAGTTAAAACCAACAAATCCCCCAAACTAAAGCACTCTGAAAGTACCCAGGAACTGTTAATGCTGTAGTGTTGAAAACTGTTTGGTGAAAGGGCTGATTAGCCCTAAAGGTCTCCCATTCTTGCTGGGAACTTTTCCAAAGAACAAAGTACTTTGCCATCTGCTCTAACACCTACTGAAGAAGACAGCGGAAAGGCTATAGGTGACTTTAATGGGCACTGGATTGGACTAATTTCTGATTTTATACACACACACACACACACTCTATTATCAAATGAGCCAGCTGTCCCTAATTATTGACAAAAGTCAATAAAAATACCTAAAAGTATCAGAAAAAATAAACAGCACAGATTGGAAACCCTGGAC